CATTTGGAAGACTTTTACTTGTTTTCACAAATGTACTGTTTTTATTACTTTTACAGCTAATTTTTATTGCTGTAACCCGCCCTGAGAATTTCTGGTGAAGGACAAGGAAGAAATCCTACAAATCAAATCAAATAAATTTACCACTAGATGGCAGACTCCACCCACAGCATGAGAAATCGCCAGCAGTTCATTTAATCCACGGAGACCAAGTCAGGAATATCTAGCAACTGCCTTGACACAATATAGAACCACAGGTTTCCTTATCATATGTGCTGCATAAATCCATCTGAAATTCAGATCTGTGATGGAGGGCAATGGCGTTGCATCCCCAATCGTATACTGGACTCAAGCTGAGCCCATAACTCCTGCCAGGGCTGTCTTTAGCAGATGCGGCGCAGGGGTGCAAATATCCACCAAGCACCCCCAAATTACCATGGATAGTGGGGAGCATGAAGCTGCGCACTGCCAGCCATAGGGGAAGACTCTCCCCCATGCCGCGGCTGGAGAGCAATCCCCACAGAGGCTTGGGAGGGAAGCTGTGCGCCCACCAGCCATATGGTTGATGGGGCGCAGCTGGCGGGCGTGCAGGGAAAGGGGAGGCCACCAGCAAAGCCATGCAGCTCCCCCACTCCCTGGGGTGCCCCTGAGAGGCCGGCGCCCTGGCGCAACGCACCACTAAGCCCCATGGGAAAGACGGCTCTGACTCCTGCCCCAACCCTAGGCAAAAGATTATTGGCAAGTGTCAGGGGCAAAGGAGAAATTTGCTGAGTTTCCATTTTAGTGCAAACCTTGAGCTCCCGATGCTCAGTCCCTGCTCCTGCCAACCTAGCAGTTCGAAAGCACATCAAAGTGCAAGTAGATAAATAGGTACCGCTCCAGCGGGAAGGTAAATGGCGTTTCCATGTGCTGCTCTGGTTTGCCAAAAGCGGCTTAGTCCTGCTGGCCACATGATCCGGAGCTGTACACCGGCTCCCTCGGCCAATAAAGCGAGATGAGCGCCGCAACCCCAGAGTCGGTCACGACTGGACCTAATGGTCAGGGGTCCCTTTACCTTTACCTAAGGGCTGCATCCAGTGTAAATGCTGAGCAGAGTTGTTGACATCTCTCTATCTCACTAGACGTTGGAGTGCACCTAAGTAAGTGAAGTCAAACCAGTGTGTGAGCAGCACCAAAGTGACCTCCCCAGGGCGCAAGCCTGGTCAGTGTGCATGGAGGTCCTGGGCTGCCCAGATGATGGGACCTCCCTCTTGGCCTCACTGATGTGGTCCAAAGGAAACAGACCAATATGTTTGGCACCAGCTTGGCTGCAGGAGTTGCTGAAAGGAGGTGTACAAGGCGCCACCCAATTGTACTGGGGACTCTGGATTTGTCTAGGATTTACTCCTTAGCCTTTTCTCTTCCTGAAGATATTCCGCAAGGCAGCGGAGTTTCAGCACCAGAATTGTTCTTCTCCTACATGGACCACCTTCCCCGGTTGATGAGCCCCATCTGCTCCCCACTTCCCTCTACAGCACATGCAGAAACTGCCTTCTTGACCGTTGGACCCACTCTTGGTCTCATCTGCTCAGTCCGCCAGAGTCTTGTCTTCACATGCAGGGCAGGTCCCTAACTCATTGAAGATTTGAGACCCATTGGCGGCCCTCACCTGGTTTAGCTGGCCAGTCGAAGTTGTTCCCCGGTGTGTGACCACTGTCTCCTGCTGACAACTTCTAGGAGCCACAGGGGAGAGCTGAGCGCAGGGTGGGGACCAAAGGTGGACAATTACCCCAGAAGGAGCACAAAAATAATACACATGCCAAACTCATTTTTTTTATATAGTGTTACAAGTTTGGTGGATCAGGGGGATGCTGTGGACATAGTGTATCTTGATTTCAGTAAGACTTTTGACAAAGTCCCCCATGGTATTTTTGTGGGGAAGCTGATGAAATGTGGGCTGGATGAGGTAACTGTGAGGTACATTTGTAACTGGTTGCCTCACTGACAATTTCATTTTCCCAGAAGTTTGAAGAAGCAACAAAGGGATCCTCTGTCTTTGACTTGGTCCTCACCAACAGGGAGGAACTGGTTGATGAAGTAATGGGAAACTTGGGAGGAAGTGATGGCAAGGGAAAGCTAAGTGTAGTCAGACATGCACTCTAGACTTTAGGAAGACCAACTTCAAAAAGCTTCAGGAGCTGAGATCCCATGGTATGAAATACTCAAAGAAAAAGGAGTCCAAGTTGGACTGGAGTTTCTTAAAGGTGAAATATTGGAGGCACAAATTCAGACAGTTTCAACAAGAAAGAAAAGTAGGAGACATCTAAAGAAACCATTGTGGCTGCATAAGGAGCTTACAGATGAGCTGAAATTTAAGAATGGTGTGTATAAGAAATGGAAGAAAGTGGAAATCACAATGGAGGAGTCTACACGAATAGCCAACAGTTGCAGGGTGAATGTCAGGCGGGCTAAAACTAAGAATCAGCTCAGGCTTGCAAGAGAGGTCAACAATAAATTTAAAAAATGTTTATTTGGGTATGTTTGAAAAAAAGAGGAAGAACAAGCAAGTTGTAGGTCCTCTTCATGGAGAAGATGGGGAAATGCTATTAGGGAACAGAGAGAAGGCAGAACTGCTTGATGATGATGATGATGATGATGATGATGAAATTGTATACCACCCTATACCCACAGGTCTCAGGGCAGTTCACAGAATAAAATCACAATTAAAAAACACAAAATGCATAACATAAAAACTACCCTTAACACTCCCCAAAACACATTTTAAAAGGGCGTTGAATGTCAGTGAACCAAAGGCCTGGTTAAAGAGGAATGTTTTTGCCTGGAGCCTAAAGGTGTGCAATGAAGGCGCCAGGTGAACCACCCTGGGGAGAGCACCCCACACCTACTTTGTCTCTGTCTTCACCCAAAAGGAAAACAACACCCTACCTGGTGATGACAGAATAAATGATGTTAGGAGGGAGCTGCAGCCCAAGATAGGAAAAGAGGTGGTAAGGGAACACCAGGCTACTTTACATGAATTCAAATCTCCAGGGCCTGATGAGCTGCACCCAAGGGTACTAAAGGAGCTTGTGGATGTAATCTCAGAGCCTCTGATGATAATCTTTGAGAATTCTTGGAGAACAGGTGAGGTCCCTGCAGACTGGAAGTGGGCAAATGTTGTCCCCATCTTCAAAAAGTGGGGGAAAGAAGACCCAGGTAGCTACCGACCAGCGAGCTTGACACCGATACCAGGGAAAATCCTAGAACAAATAATTCAACAGTTGGTCTGTGAGCACTTAGAAAAAGATGCTGTGTTTACCAAGACCCAGCATGGGCTTCTCAAAAACAAGTAATGCCAGATAAGTCTCGTTTCTTTTTTTGATAGAGCTTGGTAGATATGGGAAATGCTGTGGACAAAATGTATCTTGATTTTACTAAGGCTTTGACAAAGTCCCATGGTATTCTTGCAGAGAAGCTGGTAAAATGTGGCCTTGATGAGGTAACTGTGAGATGGATCAGTAGCTGGTTGACTGACCAAACCCAAAGAGTGTTCACTAATGGTTCCTCATCATCATGGGTGCCACAGGGTTCTGTCAGGGGTTCGTTGTTGTTCCGTGTCTTTAAAAATGACTTGGGTGAAGGAATTGAGGGGATGCTCATCCAATTTGCAGATGACATTAAACTGGGAGGGGTAGCCAATGCCGCTGAAGACAGAACTGGGATTCAAGATGACCTGAACAGATTGGAGAATTGGGCCTCAACTAACAGAATGAAATTCTATAGAGACAAACATAAGATTCTTCACTTAGGCAGGAAGAACCAGATGCATCAGTATAGGATGGGGAACACCTGGCTTACTAGCAGTACATGTGAAAAGATCTTGGAGTCTTAGAGGACCTCAAGCTTAACATGAGTCAACAGTGTTATACAGCAGAGAGAGAGAGAGAGAGAGAGAGAGAGAGAGAGAGTTCTAATGGTACATCAACAGAAATACCGTGTCCAAATCAAGGGAAGTCATTGTGCCACTCTATTCTTGGTCAGACCACACCTGGAGTACAGTGTCCAGTTTTGAACTCCACAATTTAAGAAGAATATTGACTGCTTCTCTGTCAAAAGGAGCACTGCTGCCACCTGCTGGCTTTTCTCATTGAGTTTGTGGGTGCCCAGCCCTCACCATTATGTTATTGTGGGTGCCTAAGCAGCCACGAGGGACGCGGGTGGCGCTGTGGGTTAAACCACAGAGCCTAGGACTTGCCAATCAGAAGGTCGGCGGTTTGAATCCCCGCAACGGGGTGAGCTCCCGTTGCTCGGTCCCTGCTCCTGCCGACCTCGCAGTTCGAAAGCACGTCAAAGTGCAAGTAGATAAATAGGTACCGCTCCGGCGGGAAGGTAAACGGCGTTTCCGTGTGCTGCTCTGGTTTCACCAGAAGCGGCTTAGTCCTGCTGGCCACATGACCCGGAAGCTGTACGCCGGCTCCCTCGGCCAATAATGCAAGATGAGCGCCACAACCCCAGAGTCGTCCACGACTGGACCTAATGGTCAGGGGTCCCTTTACCTTTACCTTTAAGCAGCCACGGCCTCCTGGAGTTGGCTGCCATGCTGCCAAAAATTCCCAGAGTTCCCTGGGAAGGTTGATTGATTGTTAAATCCTTTTGGGAACTGTAGCTTTGTGAGCTCTCAGCCCCCTTATAAGATACATTTCCCAGGAGTCTTTGGGGGAATTTATGACTGCTTAAAGTGGTATGATCCTGTTCTAAGTGCAGATGGAGCCAGAGACAGATGTACAACCTCACATTTTGAACCCACAATAAACTGCAGCCTTATGATATAATATAGATGTTTATTGGTCCTTTTTATATGATTTTGTATTTTGATTTTTGGTACATGAAAGGAGACTATAAATACCATGAATAAAATGAATAGGTAAATAAGCTTCCATGTGTTTCCGCTAATGGGAAGTGACCTTCGTCATTCCCAGGAAAAGGAGGAAGCAATTGAAAGAATGTGGCGTTGTACCTCCAAGGGCTTTGGGGGTGGGGATTATTTCTTTATTTATTTTTAGCCCCGTGATCTCAATCAGGAAGGAGACACTCGAGTCTGAATTGGTTTGTCTGGCGGGAAGAAGAAACCAATAAATGAGAAGTGAGGACTTTGCTTCTGATCGGTGCTTTTCCTAAAAAAAGAAAAAACAGTACTGGTATTCACCATGAAGTTTTTACAGTAAGTATACACAAAAAGTATCAGGTGTTATAACAATAACACAAACAAACAGAAAAACAAACAGAACTGGCTTATGAATATAAAGAACAATTTTAATGGAATAAATATATACCCTCATAAGCCAACTAGACAATGAGTACAGTGGTACCTCGGGTTAAGAACTTAATTCGTTCTGGAGGTCTGTTCTTAACCTGAGGTACCACTTTAGCTAATGGGGCCTCCCGCTGCCACTGTGCCGACGCTGCACGATTTCTGTTCTCATCCTGAAGCAAAGTTCTTAACCCGAGGTACTATTTCTGGGTTAGCGGAGTCTGTAACCTGAAGCGTTTGTAGCCTGAGGTACCACTGTAATTTGAAGCCACTGGTTCAAGTCCTACCCTCCAGAGCAGGAAAAAACAATCTTTCATGTGACAAACTAAAGTGCAAGGTGCATAATCAAGCCTGGAGATACTCATGAACATAGAATGTACCAGTGTCTCTCTCGTTGGTGTACTGGTTCTGTATGCGATAAATATATCACAACAAAGCTGGAACAAATAGTCATTCACTGGAAGCACAAAGCAATAAACGTAGGAGCGATTTCCTGAAAGCATTCTTCAAGTGGTCGTTAGCTGGAAGCACAAAGCCAAATGATCAATTGAAGCCAAATAGATGAGACCTATTCTCCGGATATTATCCAGGTTTCGCAGCAAGCTTCATCAGTCCATGATGCTAATCACTCAACACGGTTCGCTCGTTTGCTGTGCCTGTGCGTACCTTTTGTCTTGAGCGAACTGTGTTGAGTGATTAGCATCATGGACTGATGAAGAGGAAAATAGAAGAGTCAAACAGGTTTTGTGGAGAGGTGGACGGATGCCGGAATAGCCTTCTCTTCCAATTTATCTACAGTGGTACCTCTAGTTACGAACTTCATTCGTTCCGGAGGTCCGTTCTTAACCTGAAACTGTTCTTAACTATAAGTGTGCTTTCGCTAATGGGGCCTCTTGCTGCCACTGCGCTGCTGGCACACGATTTTCGTTCTCACCCTGGGGCAAAGTTCTCCACTTGAGGTAACTCTTCTAGGTTAGCGGAGTTTGTAACCCGAAGCGTTTGTAACCTGAGGCGTTTGTAACTCGAGGTATCACTGTATTTATGTATGTCATGAAATGTATGCACTGCCTGGTTGAAAGAAAGAAGGAAAAGCCTCAGAAGCTAAAACAATAAAACAAGGAAAAACCTACAAGACTTTAAAACATACAGAAAGTTAAAATACTAGAACAGGTTAAAATTCACAGCAGCTTTCTAAATTTCTGGGTAGGCTTTTCTAAACAAGGATGTTTTTAGAAGCCGCTGGAAAGAATACTGGGAAGCGACCTGCTTGATCTGAAAGGGAGGGAGCAGCTGCCACACGAAAGGACTGTGGAGCGGAAATTGTGTGAGCCCTGCAAACGGGCCCAAGTGATTGGGTGGGCGCCAGTGGGGCAAGGCAATTTCATAGGTAAACTGGTTTTACATATGCCAATAGTAACACCTTGAACTCGATGCAAAGCCTGATGCAAATGATGCAAAACATGGCAAAGAAGGGGGGCCAATTGGATCAAGTCCCCTCCATACTTTGCAAGTTACCCCATTTATTCCAAAGATGACCCTCTGCAACAAGCATCCATCTACACAAAGCTTCCTTCATTTCTGGTGCAAGACCAAGAACAGTCGATTTCCTATGCAGGCAAAGGACTAGACGAGATAACCTTTGAGGTCATCAATTTTTTGTGGCCAAAGAGATAAATAATTCTATACAGTGGTACCTCTAGTTACGAACTTAATTCGTTCCAGAGGTCTGTTCTTAACCTGAAACTGTTCTTAACTTAGAGGTGTGCTTTTGCTAATGGGGCCTCTTGCTGCCGCTGTGCTGCCGGTGCACAATTTCCGTTCTCATCCTGGGGCAAAGTTCTCAACTCGAGGTAACTCTTCCAAGTTAGCAGAGTTTGTAACCTGAAGCGTCTTGTAACCTGAGGCGTTTGTAACTCGAGGTACCACTGTATTCCATATGCATTACTGTGCATAACTTTTAGACTTCATGAAATGTTACCGATACACACAGAACTTTGCAGCAGGGGTGGGGGGTTGTCGGGCTTGGGGGGCCGAATGCCTCTCGATGTGGCCCTTGGGACTGTCCCCAGGCCCCACGGGCTGTGCTTCACACTCTCCTTGAGTTTGAATTCTGATGGGGTTTCTTGCTTACTTGGGTGTTACTAAGTTGTGTGTGTGTGTGTGTGTGTGTGTGTGTGTGTGTGAGTGAGTGTGTGAGAGAGAGAGAGAGAGAGAGAGAGAGAGAGAGAGAGAGAAGAAACTAGTCTACTGCATGTTCATAACTCTGCCTCTTTTTGGTCCCCACCCACTACTGGTATGTGCCCCCCCAGGACAGCTGCCCAGAAAGGGGTGCATCCCTCCAGCTGAAAATTATTCCCTACTCCTGCTTTAGAGAGTCACAAAATGATGGCTCCCCGTCTGTCTGTTGTAGCCCTCAGTAGATACGGTAATCTGAGACGAGAGTAATAAAGGGAGAGTAAGTCTCCATCTGGGTGGTGCTGTGGGTTAAACCACAGAGCCTAGTACTTGCCGATCAGAAGGTCGGCGGTTCGAATCCCCGTGACAGGGTGAGCTCCTGTTGCTCGATCCCTGCTGCTGCCAACCTAGCAGTTTGAAAGCACGTCAAAGTGCAAGTAGATAAATAGGTACCGCTTCAGTGGGAAGGTAAACGGTGTTTCCGTGCGCTGCTCTGGTTCGCCAGAAGTGGCTTAGTCATGCTGGCCACATGACCCGGAAGCTGTACACCGGCTCCCTCAGCCAGTAAAGCAAGATGAGTGCCGCAACCCCAGAGTTGGTCTTGACTGGACCTAATGGTCAGGGGTCCCTTTACCTTTAAGTCTCCATCTGCACTTTACACATTAAACAGTCATGGCTTCCCCCCAAAAAAACCTGGGAACTGTGATTTGTTAACGTCACTGAGAGCTGTTAGAAGATTCCTTGTTCCCCCAACAGAGCTGCAATTCCCAAACTTCTATGCAAATAAACTCTTTGGGAATTGAGTCTAAGATTGAAAACATTGAGAAAGGAGCAGAAACCAAAACTGATAAACCAATAGACTGATGCTCTTGTTTCTTTGTTAAGGGTTACATACTTTTTGTACTGGAGTGAAGTTTGTATAGCCAAAATGAAATAAAGCCCATCCTTGCACCTGATGAGGACCTTTGAGGGAGAACAATGGGCAAAATATGAGCATGGACTTAGTCAGACAGTTGGCAAGTCACACTGCAGTGTGGCACATGCAGTCATAGATCCTGTAGCCCGAAAGGGAGACTCACCTCTGACTTGGCGCAATTACGTACAAGCCCATTCTTCCGCTGTCCCGTTTCAGGATGTCCCAGGTAACCTCTGCTTTGCATTCCTGCAGGCTTCCTGTTGACAGAGGGTGAGGCCTGCTTGCCTCAGACCCTGAAATAGAAACTCACTCTATGTACCACAAAAGGGACATTTCCTGAATGTCCAAAAGCTGCCAGAGTTTTTCGTGAAACTGAAAGGCAAATGGGGAACGAGTGGGTGAAAAATTGCGGCATTTTCTTTCCTGTATGCTGCCAGTCAAGCGGAAGCAGACCACGGTGCCAGAGACATCAGCATTACCTGGCTTGGTCCGGGTCGCATTTAGCATGCCAGATCGTCATCGGATTTCATGTCCCAATTAAGCAATCGAAACCCTGTCCCTTTGATTTCTCTTGCCACTAGAGACTTCAGTGTTTGGCAAAGAGAAAAGACAGGCATTTTCATTGGAATAGGTAAGGGGGCCGAGGGGGCAAATGGAGTGCCCCCCCCCCAATGTTGCCAGACCCTCAGTGATCAATGGCCAATGGTCACGGATGAGTCTGCTTCATCAGATGCCTTGAAGAGAGACGATCAGGCCATTCAAACTCATTGTTGTTCCGTAAAACAACAAACAGGCAGCTCCCAGTCGACAACTCCCTCAGAAGGTGGAGGAGTTTTTAAGCAGAGGTTGGATGAGCATCTGTCAGGGATTATTAAACTGTGATTCCTGCATTGCAGGGGTTAGACCAGATGACCCCAGGATCCTTTCCGACCCCACAGTTCTATAGATCTCTAGTTCCACTGTGATCATTGTAAGTAGAGTTGGGGGACAATGCTGAGATGAGGCCCAGTACCACCAGCCAAGGGCCCCCAAAACCTGGCACCAGCGCTTCTCAGGGCCCACTGAGGCCTGGAGCCAGCCCTCAGAGACACACCAGACTCATGAAGTAGGTGCACTCTGAAGGTTTGTTGAGTTCCTCGTTCTATTAAAAGGAGGACAGAGGCAGCATGATGTTCTGCTTGATATAGAATAGCCTTCAAAGAGCATCCCGTGAAGAACAAGGAGCACTTCTGCATGGATTGCAGTTCTCATTGTCTCACACCCACAGAGTTTCAGTGTGTGGAGGCGGCCTGTGGAAGGAGAAGGAAGCCATTGCTTAGGGAAACCAGACCTCTTTGCTGATTCATCCAGACCACCAAGTGAGTCAGGGGCCATCCACACCTCCAGCTTTATAGCTGCACTGCAAGAACAAAGTCCCACAGAACGGTGGGTGAATCAATTTCAATTTCTCTTTTTTGCTTTTCCCTGTCTCACGTTGGGGGCTTCACTGTTCCATATCAGCTTGTGGTTTTTCTTTTTAAAACATCACCAGCACTTTAGTGTGGGTTTCTCCTGATACAAACCTTTGCATGCAACACAGCCCAATCTTTTGTGAGCAATTTCCCGAAGAGAATCCATCTTCAAACTTTCATTCTCGCTATGATATTCATTTTTTATGCATTTTGGGGACATGTTCGCTGGGCAGGTCAAATATCAACAAATATAAATTAACTGTAACAAACCTACATTGACAGATTACATTAACATTTACAGACCTTAACAGACTGGAGAACTGGGTGCAAGCTAGCAAAATGAATTTCAGCAGGGACAAACGTAAAGGTTCTGCACTTAGGCAGGAAGAACCAGATGCACAAATATAAGATGGGGGACAACTGGCTTACTAGCCGTATATGTGAAAAGGATCTAGGGGTTTTGGTGGACCACAAGCTTAACATGACTCAACAGTGTGATGCAGCAGCAAAAAAAAGCTAATGCCATTCTAGGCTGCATCAACAGAAGTATCATGTCCAGATTAAGGGAAGTAATAGTACCACTCTATTCTGTCTTTGCCAGGCCACACCTGGAATACTGTGTCCAATTCTGGGCACCACAATTTAAGATGGATGTTGACTAGCTGGAACTTGTGCAGAGGAGGGCAACCAAGATGATTGAGGGTCTGGAAATTGAGCCTTATGAGGAGTGGTTGAAGGAGCTGGGTATGTTTAGTCTGGAAAAGACTAGAGGAGACTCAGTGGACCAGTCTCCCTCAGGAGGTTGAGGACTCTCCTTCCTTTGAGGTTTTATGAGAGGGGGGGGGCATTCCAGTGAGATCCTATGCTTTTTTAAAAACAAAAACTTAGAAGTACATCCTTTTGATATTGTCTGGATGGAGAGCTGGGAGTGGGGAGTGGGATAGAAAACCACTGACTTCTGTGTGGCTCAGGTGTGAATACTGCACACAACTGTTACTCCATCTACTTTTATTTATTTTTATTTATTTCATAAAATTTATACACTGCTTGATTGTGAGAAACAAACCTGAAAGCAGTTTACAGAAATATAAAACTGGGATAGCTCAGTTGGTAGAGCACAAGACTCCTAATCTCTGGGTCGTGGGTTGCGCAAAAGATTCCTGCATCGCAGTCAGTTGGACTAGATTATTCTTGTGGTCCCTTCCAACTCTAGAATTCTATGATTCAATAAAATTATGATGTAAAAATGACAGTAGTTTAAAACATACAAAAAGTTAAAATACTAGAAGGTTCAAATGCACATCAGTTTCTAAACATTTGGGTGGGCTTGTCTAAACAAGAATGATTTTAGCAGGTGCCGAAAATAATGCAGGAAAGGCACCCACTTGGGATCAATAGGCAGGGAGTTCCAGAGTGTAGGTGGCAGCTGTAGTTGTGCCAGTTCCACCAGCTGAGTGGGCACATGTTGGGTGAACCGGTCCCAAGTTGTTAAGGGATTTACATCAGGGGTCGGCAACCTAAGGCCCATGGGCCACAAGCGGGCCATGGGAGTCATTTTACTGGCCCATGAGCCACCCCCCAAACCGAGCCCCACGCTCAGCGAGTCCCTGCGCACTGTGCTAAACCGGCGCAACATGGTGTGGGGACTTGTGGAGCGGCGCAGGAAATCGTGTCTGTGCAGGAAATCACGCGTGCCCGCGATCCGGGCCACGAAGGGGACTCCGCAGCAGTGAACTGGCCCAGGCAAGGTAAGCCTTGCCCACCTCTGATTTACATGCTAGTAGTAACACCTTGAACTGATCGCCGAAGAATTGATGCTTTTGAATTGTGGTGCTGGAGGAGACTCTTGAGAGTCCCATGGACTGCAAGAAGATCAAACCTATCCATTCTGAAGGAAATCAGCCCTGAGTGCTCACTGGAAGGACAGATCCTGAAGCTGAGGCTCCAATACTTTGGCCACCTCATGAGAAGAGAAGACTCCCTGGAAAAGACCCTGATGTTGGGAAAGATGGAGGGCACAAGGAGAAGGGGACGACAGAGGACGAGATGGTTGGACAGTGTTCTCAAAGCTGCTACCAGCATGACCAAACTGCGGGAGGCAGTGGAAGACAGGAGTGCCTGGCGTGCTCTGGTCCATGGGGTCACGAAGAGTCGGACATGATTAAACAACTAAACACCACCAACAGTAACACCTTGAACTTATGTGCTGACATAGCCTGAGTCCTGTCAGCAATTGTGCTGCAGCAGACAGTTCCAACTACAGCTTCTGGGTCAAGCACAAGAGAAGTCCCACTTTTGCCAACCACTCCCACCCTGCACACGGCCCCTGAGGAAGGACTGCCCTTGAACCGGAGCACGTTCCTCGCCACGGGTCGGCAGAGACATGTTTTGCTCCTTACTGTGTTTGGGCAAAAAGGAAGCCTTTCCAAACAATGCAGGGGCTATTTATGCCAGTTCTCATTTTAGTCGCTTATCATAACAGGAAACGCAGCACAATATCAACAGATGCCAGTTGTGGAACAATAGTTTGGGGAAGGCTTATTCTTTCCAAGTAAGGAACTCGCTCCCACCTCAAATGGTAATTCTTCCCCAAAAGAAGTTGAAAGCAAAACATCCAAGCTATAAAGCTGCACCCAGTGACTCAGAGCACAAAGGACATCAGTCATGGGGGGTGCTGAACCCCTCAGAGCTGGAGGGACCCGAAGGGTCATCTAGCCCAGAAGCCCCAGCCCTGGACTGCTGCAACCTCTGGAGAGCATCTTGGTCAGGGATGATGGATGCAGCATAATAAAAGGGGCCCCAAATCTGGCAGTGGCGGCTTTCCACATTTTGAAGGAAGCGCAAAAGCGTGTTTATGGCCACAAAGTCCAGAGCAAAAAATGGCCTCACTCTGCCAGTCTTGGCTGTAGGTTTCCCACAATCCCCTTATTTGGCTCTGCCAGAAACAGGATGCTAGATGAGGTGGTTCAATCCTGAGGGACGCTTCTTACTCACTTTAGCCTTGAGAAAAACCACTGGGTGAGCAAAACACTTTGTGGCACTTGCCTGAGGAGCGGCTTCCCTGCCAAGCCCAGCGTGAGGCAGATCCCATTAGCAGCAGGTGTTTCTGGCAATGAGTCACCGGGGAATCTTGCTGGTCTCCGTCACTCAGCCACGGGCCTCATTGTCTGATGACTTTTCCTGCCAACTGGTTGGGCGGCTCCAGCGTGGCAGCTCTCTGGCTTTGTGTCATAGCTCACGTTTCCATGCCCTTGCTCACCTTGGACACGGCCCAAAGTGAGTCAGAGACATAGCTGTCAACTTTCGGATTTGAAAATAAGGGATCAGCAGCCTCACCTGTCCCGGAGACAGTCTACGGGATATCTAACAATCCGGGATAGCAGCGGGAAGCAGCGGGAAACGGCGCTGAAATAAGGGAATTTCCTGCAAAAAAAAGGGAAGGTTGGCAGCTATGGTCAGAGAGCTTAGAGCCTTGCGCACTTTCCCCCTTTGGAACCTGCACGTTTGATGGGGGGGGCTGTGAACTGAGGGCAGGATGCGGCCTGCATCCCTGGGGAGTTACAGTCAAAGGTCTAGGTCAGTGGTGCTCAGACCTTTGGGGGCAACTTCCCCCTTGGTTTCATAGACTCCTCCCCAGTGCTCCCTCCCTTATAGAAAGCATTATTCAGAAAAGCAGCTTGCACTAAGATAACAATTCAAAACAGCAACACTTAATCACATATTTCTTCAAAATCCATTAAAAAACTATCTAGTTTAATTAATCCAGCAAAACTGATGGACTGTGATCCTGGGATAGTGACTTTTCAAAGCCATTTCTACCTCCAGCACCTCCTGCTGCCACCCCTTGCCTCTTAGAGCTCCCCCTCCAAAAAAAAAGTATTCCCACAGCCCCCCCCCCAAGGACCACTAGTGTCCACTTTGGGCACCACTGGTATAGGGGATACATCTGGGGGTGGGGAACCCCCTCTCTGACTGACCCACGAGACTCTCCCCAGGACACAGCCTCCCTCCAGGAAGGGGGGAGAAATTCAGTTCACATTTAACAGCAAAAGTTATCAAATTTGCACCTTCTAAATAGGTATGATAACTGCAACATAGCAATTCTTCAAAAGCCACCTTTCTCCAGGCAGTCAACATTTTTAAAATGCCTATACTGGGGAAACATGTGCATAAAAATGAGTATTTTAATGAAAATGACATACAAAAGGGCAAGTCACCTGCTGTCATTGTTAGAGGTACAACTCTTGCTTAGGGTGCTTAAGGCGCCCTAAAGACGTTAAAAGCAAAGATTATGGGATAATGCACACAGTGACTTGCGATCTCAATCACACGCAGTCTGTAGTCCGCTGGCAGTAGGAGTACAATATGGACATGTCTTTAAGTTAACATCTTACATTAAAAACCTGACAGTACCAAACTATCGAAGGTTATTCACCAAAGCCAGACTAAACGTCTTTCCTGCTGCAGTGTTGGATGGCAGGTTGAGAGGAGTTCCCTACCAGGACAGACTTTGCTCGGGTGCTCAAGACATCAATTGCATAAAACATATTTTGCTGCACTGTGCGAAATATGAGCAAGCCAGGGCTGAACTGATATTACCCTTGCTGGTACCTTTCCCAGGAAAATCAGAGGCTCACTATGTCAGGTTCCTATTGGAAGACCGGACAAACGCTAGAACATTAGCAGTGGCAAAGTTTTTATCGGTGGTTGCAAGAACCAATGATCCCTATCTTTAAGTCTGAACAAAATGCTTGTTTAACCTGGAGGTAGGCTGTCTGAATTGTGCATTGCTTTGTAATGATTTGTTGGGTCTCTGGACTGTAATAAAGATTGATTGATTGAGTTATTGATTGAGTTATCAAATTTGCACCTTCCAAATAGGTATGAAGAACACAGCAGTTCTTCAAAAGCCACCTTTCTCCAGGCAGTCAAAATGCCTATACTGGGGAAACATGTGCATAAAAATGAGTATTTTAGTGAAAATGACATACAAAAGGGCAAGTCGCCTGCTGTCATTGTTAGGGGTACAACTCTTGCTTAGGGTGCAAGATGGAATGCCAGCCAAGCTGCTGAGAATCCTGGATTTGGGGAGGAGATGGCTGTTGCTCAGGGGCGCAGCCCAGACTTCATATGCAGAAGGTCCCCTTGGCTGCTTGCCAGATTAGGAGGCAATCGCAGCCATGCGGCTCAGTGGTCTGACTGAGTCAAGGCAGCTTAATATATTTGTGTGCTGGAACATGGAGCCCAGGAAAATTAGGACAGGGATCATCCGTCTGGCACACATAAAGTGTGGGGCATTTTCCATCCCAACAGTTTCAGATAATTTCCATGCAGGGAAAGCCCACCACAAAACCATTTATCAGGATTATTTAAACTCCACCTTGAAGGTGGAGGTTGATGGAGCTCTTTCATGCCCTAATCCTTCTGGGGGGAGTCTGCATGGATTTGCTTGGAGCAAAATAAGCTTCGCAGGGGAAATGATGCAAGACAACATCATCCAAGGCCCTTTTTCATGTGCCCCACCCCACAAGGGGTCTAGGGGGGAGGGTGGCGGCAACATGAGAACTGGCCTTTTCTGCAGTGGCTCCCCTGTGGAATGCTCTCCCCAGTGAGGCCCACCTGGCTGCTTCCTTACATTTATTCAGGCGCCAGATTACAATGCCTCTCTCCAACCAGGTCTCTGGCTAAATAAACAATCTATAGCCTTTAAAATGCGTCTCTGGCAGGGGAGGGTTATTGTTTTGGCTGTTATTAACTTGTGTGTTTTTGTGTTTTTATAGTGTAATCTGCCCTGTGTTTCTCAGATGAAGTGTGATACAGAAAGAAAGAAAGAAAGAAAGAAAGAAAGAAAGAAAGAAAGAAAGAAAGAAAGAGAATACCTTTGAAACAGAGAGAAAGAAAAATTAACCAAAGAGAAATGAGTGGTCCAAGCCCACAGCCAAGAATGGACCCAAATCCAAAGCAGCAGCTCCCAAGCTTCTAGTCCCTATGGAATTGGCTTTGGGCTTTTAAAGAAAGAAAGGCAAGAAATCTAAAGGATGGCAGTCTTGAGAAACCGGAGGAGGAGAGAGAAAATCCCTCCATCTCACTCTGATGGAAACTCCCCAAGACTTTACAGAAATGTATTGTTCTCCAACAATCCCCATGTTCCGCACTCCCCAGGGGTGGGAAGTCCAATGATCTGTGCAACAGAATTCTGCTTCCTCTGTATGTGGAAACCCCCGCAATAGGGCTGGGTGGTGCCTGGTGGAGCTGGCCAGGATTCTTGCAGGGGAGAAGGACCACGACCGCTAAAGTCGTTTCTGAGTGCTTCAAACGTATGGCATGGATATGACCATTGTGTCAGAGCAAGTGTTTCCCCAGTTTCTGGTGCATTGTTCCCATCACTTTCTTTTTGGGAAACACAAGAATGTAAGAGCCTGCTGGACTAGACCAAAGATGGCCCCAGTGGCGGAGGAAACCTCTCCGGCATCCAGGGAGGGGTGGGGCAAACCGCTCGGTGACACACACGCAACATGCATACAAAGTGTGCATGTGCAGCAGCCCACCATGCGTGCACACTCCGTACAGGATGCCGCTTGCACAGCAACCATATGAACTGCCGTGCAAGTGGCATCCCATATGGAGTGTGCACACACAGCATCCCATACGGATCCCTCGGCCGCTCTACAGCTGGGGGGGAGGCAGGGGCAATCTTATCACACACACCCCCAGAGTGGCACCCAGGTCAGCCCACTCCCTCCGCCCCCCACTTCGTACGCCCCTGGATGGCCCCTCTAGTCCAGCATCCTAGTCTCACAGTAGCCAACCAGGAGTTCCTTGTGAGAAACCCCCAAGCAGGATTTGAGCCCAAGATTCCTCTCCTCTCCTGTGGTTTCCAGCAGCAGGTAACCAGAAGCAGTGCTACCTCGAACTGTTGGGAAAGGGCATAGCCGTGAGGATAGTAGTCATCGATAGCCCTCTGCTCCATGAAAGTGGGTTTGTTGCGCAAGACCTCCCCATCAGCTACAATGGCAAAACCTTAATTTGTGAAAAGGTGACTTAAAAGCACCCACAGACAGCTAAGAAGCAACACTTTTTCTCCACTTGATTTTGACAAAGCTTTATTTATATATAAAAAAATACATTACTTTTGCTACAATGCAGCTGCAAAGCAAAATACAAATAGTAATGTTAATATGTTAATAATTCCTACTACTTTAAAGTGCATGGGTAGGGAGAAAATTCATTGCAATTAAGAGGAATGGAGCTTAAAAGCATTTTTTAAAATTGTAGTGCAATGGAGTGTTGTCTCCTTGGCCTGAAAGCAAAGTTACGGAACCATCCCTTGCTAAGCCAAAAAGGAACACTCTTAAATTTCACAGTTTACGCTTGAGGGGACTCATTCTGGTGACTCAACAGTGGCGCAAAGCAAAGGCAAGCAGGCAGAGGGCACAGATTAGACCTCATCCAGAAACTGGCCTCCTTGCTCCAGGTGACAAGGGAGTCACCAAAAGCCATTTGCTATGCAGAGGGGGCTTTTGCATTTCTCAGTTTCATTTTTTCCTGCATTCCTAAGTTTTTCAGTCTTAAAGTTCAGTTTGCTACATTTCTACATCACTTTGCAATTATTATTTTTAAGTCTGCATGAAAATTTATCAACCTTTTAGCCTGCATTTCATAGAACTTTCACTGGAAGTGACCCAAATGCTCATCTACGGCAGTCCGGAACATTGCAAACATCTACATTCCTCCACAGATTGACATTTTTTGCAAGCTAATTTCCCTAGCATAACAGAGTTTTTGGGTATGCCATCTTCACCAATCCATGCATTTTTGGCCACACTTTCCCCCCAAAGAGACACTTTCTTTGGTTGGAGAACTTTGCTGCAAAATTTGGAGAAGTGCAAACTTCCAAGGACAGATGTTTGGGGAAGTGTGAATGAGGTAGGTTTGCGTTTAAAGGCAAAGCGAATCAAACGTCCCCCGCTAACGCTCCCCCGGCAAAGTTGCTGCTCTCAAAACTAATCTGGTGGGGAAGGTTTTCCCAACCTCTCAGGATGTTGCCTGCCTGCACCTGTGGCAGAGGCGGTCAGCAGCCTCGCTTGGCAACTGCTGCCCATGCAATAACCTTCCTTGTTTAGCTACAACCCAACTGCAAAACCCTTCAGTCGGTAGCTTTCAAGTATCATTGGTTATGACATCAAGGAAAGCATACTTGGAATATATATGAAAGGTGTTAGATACAGATTAAATATTTTGGTTTTTTTGCTGATGTAACTGAAGGCACAAAACAGGAATAAGGAATCTGTGCCCCCCCCCATTTTTTGTTTATTCCTTTTATCATTTACACCCCACCTTTCATTTAAGGGGCCGTACACAGTTCCCCTCCAACCTGTTTTATCCTCACAGCAACCCTGTGGGGTAGGTTAGCGACAGAGATACTGTGACTGTCTCAAGATCACACCCAGCGAGAGCTTCATGGCAGAGCAGGGAATTCAAACCCTGGTCTCTCCCAGGTCCTAGTTTGACAGTATAACCACAACACCACACTGGTTCTGGTTTGGAAGAGAGAGAGAATATATGAAGTAGTTTGTATTCAGATACACACATAAATGTGGATTCCCCCTCCCCAAAACTGGCTAGAACAGAGATAAGGGGGATTCACGTGGGGGTTGAAATGAAATAGACTCATTTGCCCATCTCTTGGAGGTGTTGCTGGCAGCTAACCAGCCAGCCAGCCAGCAGATAAGACCAAGACAGGAAACAGACGTCTGCCTTACTCTGTAACCTGCCACCAAACCACGTTGCTCAGCATCATCTCAGCCACCGGCTGCAGCTCTCTAAGGTTTCAGAAGGCAGGAGCCTCTTTTGTTTTTAATGCCAGCAATTGCAGCTTTTGCATGCAGAGCCTCAGCTCCCCCAGCCATGACACTGCTTCCTCACAAGGAAGAAGAAAAACAGACCCACATCCAGATTGCTGGTCTACTCAGAAGCACATGTACACAATATAAGAGGTAGAACTCAGCCTTGTGAACACCCTGGGATCTCCCTCTTTCTTCACTATATGAACCGACTTCCAGAAATTAAGACACACAAAAAATCACCTTCAAAGGCTTTCCAACATCTTTGCCTACAAGTGGCCCTGAGGCTTGTTAATTTTGTTCCCCACAAAAAGAGGATCTGATTTTTTAGAAAAATATAATAAATAAAAATAAATATCCTTCATCCAGTGAAATCACACAAAGGATTTCCAAACATCTGTGAGTTAACCGGCCAGGAAGCAGGATCAGAAAGGCAGGAAACTGCATCCCACAGTTTGAGGCAGGAAACTGCGTCCCTGACACCCCACAGCCCAGGCAATTGCACCAACCCATTCTCCACCCTTGCCAGATGGACAAGCATAGAAGCAGGCAAATCTGGGACTAGGCAGGACAGACCAGGTGGTGGCCTCTTGACAGGCCAGTGGTCAATTGCCAGTTGACCACCTACTGCTAATGGAGAATCTTCCAAATGCTAGACTAGGTGGCTCTTCATCTGAACCTACAGGATGTTTCTTTGATCTTGGTGCATATTGGGGATGCCTTGATATACATTAATTATGCCTTATAACTGTTCAGAGATCCTGAGCATGTATCGTTGCTTGGAAAATGTCAGAAACATCAAAAGAACATTCAGAACACCAGTTATTTAAAAAAGATGCAGAAGACCGTCAAGTCTTATAAACCTTGGGCCTGAAAGTTTGCTCTCCAATCTGAGGAAACTTTTATTTAGCATGTGAGCTCTGTGTTGGATCCTGATGCCTGCCTTTGAAGAAGCCTGACGTGGACCTTCACAAGCCCCCCTGGGCCACCTCAGCCATACCCTCTGCCCCATTAGCTGCCCCATGCATTGTTGTTTGCACTGGTTCTACTTCATCACCCAGATGTTCATATCATCATGTTCATTTTGGCAGGACCCATCCTGCTCAAGATTTCAGGATCTTGGTGCTTCTGCAGACAGAACAGCCACCAACCTCTCCTTCATTCTGCTATCTACTATGCACCACCAGGTTGCCACTTCTCTGGGCAAGTGGAGAATAGGTGGCTTCTAAGCCCAAGGGAAGAATTATATCTATTGAGGGACCCACTTCTGAGATGGAACAAGACACACTAGAAAGAGGTACAGTTTGGTCACTTGTGCTGGTAGGCAGTCAGGAGGTCAAGTCCTCAATGGGTGAGCAAGACAACTGCCGCCATATGCAACAGTCCTAGCCAGAGGGACAAAGATGTTTGGGTGGCCCAGTCCTTTGCCATCTTATTCCTGGGCTCCTCAAGCAGCATCTTCACATTGGAGGGCTTTGTCAGGCATTCTGTCACAAGGGTCTGGGTAAACCAATCCTCCTGGGAAACGCAGGAATAAGTGCCATAGAGCTCGTCCGTCATATTGTCTATGAAGTGGATGCAGTGGCGATGGCCAGATCCACAGTGCGAAACCGTTTGGTTGTCACGGAGCCAAGTGTAAGTGGCATGGTGGGATTTGATAGAGCAGTTGAGGTAATAGCGGGTGCCGGGTGCCACGGTCACAATCTGACAGTGATGGTTGTCATCACCTGGACAGGAAGAAAGAGAAGATGGTGAGAGAGTGAGTGAGAGAGAGAGATTGAGAGGTCACCCTTTGCACACCCTGGTGTGGAACAGCAACCGTCAGGAGGCCTTTGTGGTGCTTGTGGTATCATGATGGGACCAAGTTTGACTGAAAATCCCTAGCTACTGAATCACAGTGCATTATTCCTGCTCAAGAGATCCATCTCCTTGCTCGCCAGCTGTTGGTGAACGTAAGAGCGCTGCTAGATGTTGTGCTGATGGCCTTTGGGTCCCTAAATCAGCCTCCTGCAACCTGACGGACTACAAATCCCACCAGGCTCAGCCAGCACGCTCAATGGTCAAGATCAGGGACCACCGCTAGCCCAATGGGCAGGTTGCTATTCTTTAGCAAGGCCAATGCTGATCAAAAGGGGCATCATCCATACTCGGACTAGCTGGCCAACTGGTTTCCCTCCAAATCTAAAGCAGGACTGGGAGAACCTGTGGCCTTCCAAAAGCTGCTGGACTCCAGCTCCCATCTGCCCCAGCCAGAACGGCCAATGGTCAGGGTGACGGGAGCTGAGGTCCAGCAGCATCTGGAGGGCTGCATGGCTCCACGTTCCTGGTCTTCAGGAAGGGCAAGAAAATGGTTTATTTGCAAACATTACCTTTAGTGTGGCTTGGAGATGAACAAATATCCGTAACAGGATTGTGTGTTAGAGCTTGTAGCAGTGTGCTAGAAGAGAAAGAGAGAGAGAATTAGAATGTAAGGAGAGCCCAAGATCTCACAAGGTGTCAGTGTTGACACTTTATTCAAAGAAACAAAGAGTTCAGGTTTAGTGAGCACAGCAACTTTTCCCCGTAGGTTTTGATCCATGCAGGCACTTGCATAGAGTGGGGAGGAAGAGAGTCATGGGCATCACCTTGAGCTTTTTGGAGGAAGAGATGGTACATAAATGTATTTAAGTAACAAATACATTTTTAATGCTTCGCCAAGGGTTCCCTGCAAGCAGAAAGCTAGCTCAGCAGCAACAAGGTGGGGCTAGAACGTCTCATCCTGAGATGATCACTTTCTGCATGCAGGAAGGTGTCACCCAGAAGTGCACTCAAATGGGATGGCGCAAGTCTGCTTTGTCACCTTGCTCTGCCGCATGTCTGTATGCGCCGGAGAACATGCAGATATAGAACGTGCAACTGTCAACAATAGAAATGAAGGGGGAGGAGGGTTGAAAATCAGAGGGACCTACCCATTTCCATGCTGGTCACGGTCATAAACAGAAGTGCATCTCCCGTTGATCCATCCGCAGTCAGGATCCCTCGCCAGGACGCAGCTCTCACAGCTGCCCTTATACGCCCCACACATAGCCATGGGCAGCTGAACCACCTCACTCTCAGAGGCTACAAACAGCTCCTTCTGCAAGATAAAATAAAGCAACAGCTGCACTGAGCTCCTTCCAAACAGCAGGACTAAGAGATGAGTCGTGCATATTCTTGAAGGGCATCATGGACTAGCCTATCTGTACCCAGTGAATGAGTAACATCAGTCTAACAGGAAAAGCAACAGCCACTGAGTGACGCACAGGAATTGCTCCTACTTTTGCAGAGGAACAGGGGACTGAAGGGGATCCCTTTTGCATGCCAGTGTATTCAAGGAGCAGAGGGTTGTCAATGGATGGCTCTGCTCTGCCACCACAGTTGGGAGGGGCTCTAGGGCTCAAGTTCTACTTGTCAAGGGCTTGCCATAATGGGCACCTGCTTGGCCACTGCAAGAAGAGAAGGCTGGACTAGGTGGGCCATTGGCCTGATCCAGCAGGACTCCTATTATGTCACCCCTAGAACAGATACTCCCCGTGTTCAGAAAAAAAGAGCACAAGACAGTCTCAAGGTTGTGGGTTTGAGCCCCACCAGGGCAAAAAGATTCCTGCATTGCAGAGGGTTGGACTAGACCAGCTTTCTCAACCTGCAGGTCCCCAGATGTTGTTGAACTACAACTCCCATCACCCCTAGCTAGCAAGGTCAGAGCTCAGGGATGATGGGAGTTGTAGTCCAACATCTGGGGACCCACAGGTTGAGAACTGCTGGACTAGACAATCCCTTCCAACACTAGCAATATATGATATCTGCATGTTTGTTCTGAGATGAGGCCCTTCCAGCCCATACAGAAAAGGCGAGGTGGCACTTTTCAGATCCTTTGCACATTTTTTGATCCAGCCACTGCTGTTCTGCCATGGCCTGGTGGGTCAGCATCATTCCAGCGACCCAGTATGGAACAAGTCAGGGGAGGCCTGCAGTTTGCAATCAAACGGTCTAGAACTTTGATGAAATAAAGCCTGGAGCAGGCAAAGGGAAAAGATGGGAGGTTCTTCCTTACTCTCTCACTGTCCAGAGTCATGGTCCGAATGCCAGCAGGAGAGAGGAAAGGCTGGATCTCCAGGACGTTGTTGGCCCCCGTGGGCAAGACAGCAACTTTGTGGACGGTTCCTTTGTCTGCGTAAAAGGGCAGAAGAAAAGGTTGGGAAGCTGGAAGGAGGTAACGGGAATGTGGGAAATGATGCTGGTTGGACAGAGCAGGGATGAAGGCTGTAAGGTAAGACCTGTAGTCCTCCGGATGTGACCCAAGGAGACCTAGGGTCAAATCCTGACCCAGTACTGCTTTGGGCTGGTTGCTCCTCAGCCTGAGCAGAGGGAGACCTGTGGTCCCCAGATGTCACTGGGCCCTAATTCTCATCTGCCGACAGCCAACATGGTCCATACAGCCAGGAGTGATGGGTGTTGTAGTCAACATCTGGAGGGCCGCAGGTTCCCTCCCCCGGCTTCAGAGAAAGGGGCAGTAAGTTGCTCAGCAACGCCAAAGGGCAGCGATGCCAAGCAAGGAGCAGCTTTGACCGTACCTGTGGCCAAGTACAGGGTGCTGTAGGTGCCGCCATCAGCTGCTGGGGCTCTGTGGACACCAATCTGCTGGTAGCGGTGCTTGCTGTAAAACAAGATGTCTTCCTGCTTCACCCTGCGTGCCACCTCAGGATGGCTGTCGGCCACTTTGAAGGTCTCGTGGGGGGTCTGCTGTTCTCCTTCTAGACACTGTTGGGAGGGACAGATAAGGCCACCAGATTAGGGGTGACAAGAAGGATCTGCAGCCTGCTTGCACCAGCCCTGGATCCTACCAGGAAGAGATGGAGAACCAGTGGCCCCCTCTGGACCACCAGCCATGGCCAGCACGGGTCCCAGTCAGGGATGGTGAGAGCTGGAGCACCACAGATGGCCCACTCCTGGCTCTAAGGACCTTTCTGGCTTCTGCCCTGGCAACAGGCACTTCTGCAAGCTTCTCTGAGCCTTGAGCACTAGAAACTTGCTTTCCTTTAAAAAAAAAAGCTTGCACTGTGTGAGATGTCAGTGATATGGAATTTTTGCCCCAGAAAGCTTGCAAGTTTCTCTTCCCAACCTCCCAACCTTTGCTACATAATGCATAACAGGATTGTACAGTTCTTTTAAAAACTCCCCACCTCCAGATTTAAAGGTCGCCACTACCCATTGTCAGTTACGGGCAAAACTGCAGCAAAAACGGCACAGTCACCAGCTCTCAGTCTCCTTTCAGTTCTGCACGTCTAGTCACTCTTTGACTAGAGCAGGACTCCCCAAAGTGGCAGGCAGTGATCCCTGCAGGGGAGGGGGATTCCCTCGTAGGGCACTAAGAGGCAAGGGGGCGGCAGGAGCTGGGGATTCAAGGCTCCTGCTAAGTGACTTTAAACCAAACATTGGGAAACCACATTGAATTAAAAACAGTGAAGTTGTGACTAAATGTGGTATTGAAGACTCTTCCTCAATTACTATCAGACTTTGAAAAGTTGGTATACCTGGACCAACGTCATTCATTTCGTTCAATTTATTGTTTTTGTTGGATTTTGAATAAATGTGCTATTAACTGTGACTGTTCTGAATTGGGTTATTATCTTCTTTAGTGGCCCATGCAAACTGCTATGCTGAATAATGCTTTTTGGAGGGGAGAGGGGGAACTGGGGAGGAGTTTGTGGAATCAAGGGGGCAGTGGCCCCCAAAACTTTGAGAACCGCTTGGCTAGAGGATATGCCCCAGTGATAAATCCACCAAGAGAAGCAAATTTGCATCCCTTACCTGCCCAGGCCTCACAGGGGGGAGTTTCTCGTGGTAGTCTTTGAGAGGCGAAGTTCGGAAGACCTTACTGATGTCACCAACGGAATAGACACAGACTGCGGAATATTCCCTGGGGATAAGAATGAGAAGCAAGGGATCCGATTTATTTTTATTGCTCTGCTTTTCTGTCAGCACAACTACCAAAGCAGCTTATGGGAAGAAAAATGACAATGTTAAAAACACACTGGTAAAAACACAAGCTTTTCACCAGTGACTATGATAATCTCTTAACACATCAGATCAATTCTTAGAAGCTGGTTGAAATGTTCGCAAGTTTTCAGAAGCAACTTTTTAGAAGGAGGGACGTGGTGCTGTGGTCTAAACCACAGAGCCTAGGGCTTGCCGATCGGAAGGTTGGAGGTTCAAATCCCCGTGATGGGGTGAGCTCCCGTTGCTCGGTCCCTGCTCCTGCCCACCTAGCAGTTTGAAAGCACGAAGTGCAAGTAGATCAATAGGTACCGCTCCGGCTGGAAGGTAAATGGCATTTCCGTGCGCTGCTCTAGTTTGCCAGAAGCGGCTTAGTCATGCTGGCCACATGACCCAGAAAAAGCTCACCCCGTCGCAGGGATTCGAACCGCCGACCTTTTGATCGGCAAGTCCTAGGCTCTGTGGTTTAACCCACAGTGCCACGCGCGTCCCCTGGGCTAAGAGAAACAAACAAACAAAAAACCCTCCACCAAGTGTAGATGTGACCTTAGCGTTCATTTGCCCCTCACCACGGAGCAAGGCACTCACCACTCATTCCAGAAGAGTCCGTAGATTCTCGTCTCCGACCAGTTGGCAGACTCCAGGATGAAGACGTCCTGAAGCTGGTTAAAGTGCCGGTCGTTGTCAGAGTCAACGCAGAGCAAGGTGGCTTTCAGGAAGGTGGTCCACTTGGCAGCCGAGAGAGAGCCGGTGCCTCCTCTGTCTCCCTGTAGAAACAGGAAGGGTGGTCAGGGATTGGCAGCTGGCCAAATGCATGGCAGCACAGTTTCACAGAATCATAGAATAGTGGAGTCGGAAGGGACCTCAAGGGTCATCTAGCCCAACCCCCTGCTCTGCAGGAATGTCAACTAAAGCAGCCAGGACAGCTGACTGTCCAACCTCTGCTTAAAAACCTCCTAGGAAGGAGAGCCCACCACCTCCCGAGGGAGACCGTTCTACTGTCAAATGGCCCTTGCTATCAGATAGTTCTTCCTGATGTTTCATCGGAATTTCCTTTCCTATACAGTGGTACCTCTGGTTAAGAACTTAATTTGTTCCGGAGCTCCGTTCTTAACCTGAAATCTGTCTTAACCTGAGGTACCACTTTAGCTAATGGGGCCTCCTGCTGCTGCCAAGCCGCCGCCGCCGCACGATTTCTGTTCTTATCCTGAAGTAAAGTTCTTAACCCGAAGTGCTACTTCCGGGTTAACGGAGTCTGTAACCTGAAGCATTTGTAACCCGAGGTACCACTGTAATTTGAAGCCACTGGTTTCCCCTCCAGAGCGGGGAAAAACCATCTTTCATGTGAAAACCCTTCAGACATTTGAAGATAGCTCTCAGGTCTTCTGTTCTCCAACCCCCCTCAACTGTTCCTCATAGGGCTTGGCTTCCACATCACATTTGTGTGTGTAGACACGTACTTGCACATTTTGCCTCATATCTTAGGTTCTACAAATGCTAGAAACACTTTTTGAAAAAAGATGGAAGCTGGGAATCTGGGGGTTATGGTTCAAGGGGAAGAAAATATTCCCTTTGCCACCCACCATGGGCAACTGTGTGTGTGTGATCTCAGCTGGATGTGTGCGAATGGCTGAATATAGCCTACCATGAAAAGGTAAGCATTGCATTCCCCCCTCCAGTTGCTGCTCACCCCCACCCCTGCCTCTGGCACACACAAACACAGAATGTTGCCCATGAGAGGATTGGGCCCTCAGGCTAAAAACGGCCCTAAAGTAACCACAGCTACTTCTTGCCATACCACTAGTATTTAGTGCGAGACCCAATGACATGACTTAGCCCAAGGGAGTCCTGCTCATTAACACCAATGAGTCTACTCTGAGTAAGTGGCCCCTGGGGCTGATCTTCAGCTGATCCCGCGGCTTCTCCTGCAGCACCCAGAGATCCCGGCACAGCCTCCCAGACACCCCCACACACACACCTTGCACAGCTGAGCCACCCTGGAGACATTCCTTGGGGCGGCTGCGTTCTTCGGCCAGTCGGGGTTTTCTTCTCGGAAGAAGTAGTAGATCTTTTCATTGTAAGCCTCCTCTTGTTTTATGATGGCAGCCTTCACAAACTTTGGATCTGCAGGCGGAAAAGACAGAGAGACCGTGAGGCAGGAAGGAACTAAGGAGGACGTTCAGCTAGGGCAGTCTGGGCAGAGGAGACATCTTAAGAGCATAGGAGTCGCCTGCTGGATCAGGCTCATGGCTCATTCAATTTCCGTACATTTCCGAGCACAATTCAAAGTGTTGGTGCTGACCTTTAAAGCCCTAAACGGCCTCGGTCCAGTATACGTGAAGGAGCGTCTCCACCTCCATCGTTCTGCCTGGACACTGAGGTCCAGCGCCGAGGGGCTTCTGGCGGTTCCCTCACTGCGAGAAGCCAAGCTACAGGGAACCAGGCAGAGGGCCTTCTTGGTAGTGGCACCCGCCCTGTGGAACGCCCTCCCACCAGATGTCAAAGAGAAGAACAATTACCAGACTTTTAGAAGACATCTGAAGGCAGCTTTTAATGTTTAATAGACTACTGGATTTTAATACTTTGTTGGAAGCTGCCCAGAATGGCTGGGGAAGCCCAGCCCGATGGGCGGGGTATAAATAAATTAATAATAATAATACTATTATAGCATCGCTGCCTCCAATTGTGGAAGCAGAGAAGAGCCATTGTGAATGGTAGCCATGGACAGCCTTCTTCTCCTGCTCCATAAAGCTGTCCAGTCCTCTTTCAAAGCCATCCAAGCTGGTGGTCATTGCTGCCTCCTGTGTAAGGGAGTTCCATAGTTTAACTCTGTGCTGTGGGAAGAAGCCCTTTCTGAATCTCCAAACATCCGGCTTCACTGGATGCCCGTGAGTTCTAGTGTTACGAAGAGAGGGATGAAAGCTTTTCTGTGCCCACTTTCACCATGACAGACATAACGTTACAAACTTCTATCGCGTCGCCTCTCCCTCTCCTTTTCTCCAACCTAAAAAGTCCTAAACGCTGCAACTTTTCTTCATGGGGAGTCGCTCCACCATTTTGGCTGCCCTTTTCTGAACGTTTCGTTTCATGGCTCCCCCCGAAGAGTCCTGGGAACTGTAGTTTGCTAAAGGTGCTGAGAGGGTTGTTAGGAGACCCCTCACAGAGCTCAGCACCGATGAACACATGCAGTTCTCAGATAAGCAAGGGCACCCACCTTAACAATGAACAGAGTATGTGGGGGAAACGGCAACTTCTCACTACAGTGAGACTGAGGTGACTATTTCTCACAAGTTAATGATCAAAGCCAGTGTGGCCTAGTGGTTAGAGTGTCTGGGAGACTGGGACCTAGGAGACCAGGGTTCAAATCCCTACTTGGCCATGAAAGCTCACGGGGTGTCACCTTCGGCCAGCCACTCACTCTCAGCCTAACCTACCTCACAGGGCTGTTGTGAGGATAAAATGGGAAGGAGGAAAACAGTGTAAGCCACCTGGAGCTCCTTAGAGGAGAGGTGAAATACAAATGTGAGAGAGGAGGCGAAGGAGGCGGCATACACAACCCAAACAGATGGAGCCAGTGGAAGCTGCAACAAAATGTTGCCGCATGGAGTGTCCATGGGGTGCCGTTCCATGCTGTCTCCCACACATGCAGGGCTGTCTTAAGCATATCCGGCGCCGTGGTACAAAGATCCCTCCGGCGCGCGCCCCCCCGGCAACTCCAAAACAAGGGAGAGGGCTGTGGAAAATGTCCTCTGCCTCCCCCACTGCCCTGATCCCTGGCATGGTGGTGGCGATTAAGCAGGAAAATGTGCTGGTGGGCATGCTCTCCGGCGTTGGGGCGCCCGAGAAGGCAGACCAGGAAGGCTGAACGCCGCCTTTCGCTAGGAAGCAGGAGAACAAAGACCCTGTCGTTAGCAGATGCAGAAACTTGGGAAGAAAGCTGCACGCCCGCCAGCCATATAGTTGGTGGGGCGCAGCTGGCGGGCATGCAGGGAAAGGGGAGCCTGCCGGCAAAGCCACGCAGCTCCCCGACTCGCTAGGGCACCCCTGAGAGGCCAGCGCCCTGGCGCAACGAACCACTAAGACCAATGCTCTGCTCCTACCCAACCTAGCTAGCCAATCAGCACTCTTTGCCTCTGAGCATGCTCAGTCCTCATCAGGCTAGTTTTGGGGGAGAAGGGTGTTTCCCTCTCCCTCAGAGTTGCCCCCCTCCCAATATATGTTGTGCTTCTTCAACTCCCAGAATTCCCCAGGCCTGCAAAAATCTCCCTGTCATGGGCGGATGTGGCTACATAACAACCCACCTGGGAGAACTGAGATCACTCTTCTTGCTGCCATGACGCAGGTGTCCCCGCAGAGGAGAAAGCCTCACCTGTGTTGTGTACTGGAAATGCCCCTGGCAACCCCCTCGCTCCCTACGTGATCTCAGAGGGGAAAGGTCCTCCACAGGGATCCGCTGAGCGGAACACTAACGTCACCAGAGGCTCACTGTGGCGGATCCTCCTGGCACTGGGGAAACACTGCCACCGTGACGTTCCTGGCACAAGAGGCACCCACTGTGCTGTTACCACCTGCTCTGAGCCGCTCCCTCTGGGGCAAGGGTTGTGTTGGTTTTAACGCGGCAACTTCCTCCTCTCCCTTGGCCGTGATGCTCAGTTTCCAAGCGGGGAAGCCCTGAAAATCTCCAGGTTCTCCTCCTCCCTCCCATGAGCAGGTTTGTTGTGTTAATACCTCATAAGGCTGGTTCATTACGCCTCACGCAGGTATAACTTCAAGGTGTCTCTACACGGGTGCAAATGCTTGTGTAAAAGAGCACGCACTGTTGATTTGCACAGCTGACTCTTGCATATGCAGACTTGCTGCAGGGTACCTGCAAATCACCGTACAGCTCAACTACTGGGGTACACAGAAGGGCACAGGAAGTACCCTTGTTGGATCAGTGTAATGTGTGAATGCCCCCTATGGGAAGGGACTCCAGTTCTAGACCTCCTGGCAGCCGGTTCATAGACTCACAGGACTCAGAGTCAGAAGGTATCCCAAGGGCCATCTAGCCCAACCCCCTGTTATGCTGAAATCACAGCTAAGAACTAAAACCAGCTCCAGGTTTGAGGAGGATTCTCAATGAAATCTCCTCGCAGGGGACCCCGTCAGAGTTCCTCTGGCCCAAATAGCAGGCAGTGGCAACACTCCGAATGAGTCTGGGTGGCTGGGAGCTGTCATTTTAACACCCTACAATGCCCCTGGGGTGGCGTCACTGGGAAAGGTTTCAGGGGCAGCCACCAGGCACTTTCGGAAAAGTTACGGGGCAGCAGTTGGCCAAGAATACGGCATGCCCGTGCCAACCCTGACCCGCTCTTTACCAACTGGGCTGAACCCAGAGGGCTGAACTCCCATCATCCCCAATGAATTCGGCCAATGGTCAAAGGGGGGAGTGGCAACTGGAGTCCAGCCACACCTGGAAGGCCAAAAGACACACATCCTGAATTTCAACTAGAGAAGGCAGGTTGGAGTTTGTGGTGGACTTCAGGAGACAGAAGAGCAACGTCCAGCCACTTTTGATTGATGGGGTCTGTGTGGAGAGGGTAACAACGTTCAGATTTTTGGGCATTGAATTACAAGAGGATCTGTCCTGGAGTGTCAACACAAGGGGGCTTGTGAAGAAGGCGCAGCAGAGACTGTACTTTTTGAGAATACTAAGGAAAAACCATCTTCCGCAGAAACTGCTGCTTGCCTTCTATCACTGTGCCATTGAGAGCGTGCTCACTTATGGCTTATGTGTGTGGTACGGACGCTGTACTACCCAAGACAGGATGGGGTTGTGCAGGGTTGTTAAGGCAGCAGAGAGCATTGTTGGCTGCCCACTCTCCACCTTAGAGCAGATTTATGCCACAAGGTGCCATAGGAAGGCACTGGACATAGTAAAAGATCCATCGCATCCTAGTCACTGTCTCTTCGAGCTCTTGCCGTCGGGACGGAGATACAGGACGATGAAGACAAGAACGAGCCGTCTTAAGAACAGCTTCTTCTCCAGAGCGATCTCGGCCCTGAATGGGAATGACTTTGAAAGTCATCTAATCTCCCTTGCTGTATTATACTGTATTGTTTAATTAGTGTTTTTATGGAGCAGTCAAGTAATTTCGTTGTCCCCGAAGGGGGCAATGACAATAAAGATATTATTATTATTATTATTATTATTATTATTATTATTATTATTATTATTAAATGCTCTGAAGCCTTGACAGCACCATGCTATTGCTGAGTGGCCGTATTAAGTCAAGTGTCCCTCAACCATTCTTGTGGGTGTGGTGCTGGAAGACAAGGGAGAGGCTGAGCAATCTGGGGAGCCCCCTCTGTCGGGGAGACTGGGGACCCCGACCCCCCCATTCCTTCAAGACCTGCCACACTCACTATTCATGACGGTGTCGCTGGTATAGAGTTCCGTAGATCCTCGAATCCGACGGAAGCGAGGTGTCCGCCCATTGTACTGGTGCTTTCTGATGGTAGAGTAGATGTCCTTGCCTGCGAGAAAAGGAAGAGAGACCAGTGGTGAAGAGGAACGCAGGTGCTAAGCCACCTCAGAAAGAAATGAGAATGTCAGGCCATTGGCTTGAGATGCAGTGAACTGGAGCAGAAAACCTCGAGTCACCGCTTTTCAAATGTGGAAAACTGCGCTTCCCCCACGATTTATTCAACAAGACTGATAGGGGGAATAATATATATAAATATGAATGTATTTATTTTAAATTAATAAAGATATATATTTTTAAAAATGACTGATGGGGGGGGGACAAACAAACAAGAGATGAGGACCCACAGCTGCCAATTTCTTGAAATTCTCTAAGTTTGCTTGTGATCAAGTGTGAAATGGGATGCAATCCAGCAGATCTTGTTTAACCTTTGAAAGGGCTGTGGGAAGTATACCTGTATGTGTATCCACACACACAAAACACAAATTCATTCTTATGCAGCCTTAAACTGCTTGTAAATCACTTTTTATACATTTTCATTGCTTTTGAGAGTTCCTGAAAAAACCGCACATGCCCCCTAATTGGCTGTGGCTGCCCATAATGTAAATTAAATTTGTGGTTTATTTTATTGTTACAGTGGTACCTCGGGTTAAGTACTTAATTCGTTCCGGAGGTCCGTACTTAACCTGAAACTGTTCTTAACCTGAAGCACCACTTTAGCTAATGGGGCCTCCTGCTGTTGCTGCGCTGCCAGAGCACGATTTCTGTTCTCTCTCTTTTTTTTTTTTTTTTTAGATAATTTTTTATTAAGGTTTTAAACAAAACAACACACACAAAAAAACAATACAAAATTTAACAATAAAAACACAAAACATAACAATTAAAAACAAACTCTCTTTTCCATTCCCAATTTTAAATTACTTATTTTCTGGACTTCCTCATACCTCCCTCTTTTGTATTCCAATCTGCATTATTTGTCCAGCAGTTTCTTTTCCACTTTTTTAAACCCAATCTTTAATTTAATAAAATATTAAAATATATAGCTTCAACTTTTTTAAACATAATCCTTGTTCTTAATGTCATATACCTTTAAATTTTTCCCTTTTATTATCAAATTTCCATTTCTTTAAACATCTTTAATCTTGATCTTTAATCTTAATCTATCCTTAACTTTAACCTGTACAGCTGGAAACCACTTATTTTCAATCCAACATCACTCTAACATTCCTTAATTTTGCAGTGTTTCTGAAGATAGTCTTTGAATTTCTTCCAGTCTTCCTCCATCGACTCTTCTCCTGGTCACGGATTCTGCCAGTCATTTCCGCCAATTCCATATAGTCCATAAGTTTCATCTGCCATTCCTCCAGCGTGGGAGGTTCTTGTGTCTTCCAATACTTTGCGATGAGTATTCTTGCTGCTGTTGTTGCATACATAAAGAAAGTTCTATCCTTTTTAACACCATTTGGCCCACTATGCCCAGGAGAAAGGCCTCTGGTTTCTTGGGGAAGGTATACTTAAATACCTTTTTTAATTCATTATATATCACTTCCCAGAAAGCCTTAATCTTTGGGCACGTCCACCAAAGGTGAAAAAATGTACCTTCAGTTTCTTTACATTTCCAACATTTGTTATCGGGCAAGTGATAGATTTTCGCAAGCTTGACTGGGGTTATGTACCACCTGTATATCATTTTCATAATATTCTCTCTTAAGGCATTACATGCCGTAAATTTCATACCAGTGGTCCATAACTGTTCCCAGTCAGCAAACATAATGTTATGTCCTACGTCCTGTGCCCATTTAATCATAGCCGATTTTACCGTTTCATCTTGAGTATTCCATTTCAGCAGCAAGTTATACATTCTTGACAGATTCTTAGTATTGGGTTCTAACAATTCTGTTTCTAATTTTGATTTTTCCACCTGGAAGCCAATTTTCCTGTCGATTTCTGTTCTCATCCTGAAGCAAAGTTCTTAACCTGAAGCACTATTTCTGGGTTAGCGGAGTCTGTAACCTGAAGCGTATGTAACCTGAAGCGTATGTAACCCGAGGTACCACTGTATTATTATTGGAGAGGCCTGCCAGCTGGGGAGGGCACTTCAAGACCCCTTGCAATGCCATAGAGAATGTACGGCCCGAACTCTGGGTTTGCACAGCACAGCAGCTCAGGAGGAGGAGAACGGTGCTCCAGCGAGAGGCCTGGCTGCGTGTCCCTGCTGGGCCAGAAATTCATTCCGCATTAATGCAGGAAAGCTTACCATCGATGAGGACAAGAGCGTTTTGATCAGGTGCAAAAGGAGCCAGACCCTGGGCACTGATCCCTGGCTCCACGTTCCCATCTACCTGCAGGAGGAGGGAAAAGAGAAGTTGAGCAGATATTTCCCACCTTTCCAGGGTCTCACCAATACAGGGAGAGTGAGAGAGACACGACTTTCAAACTCCCCTTTTCTCACACCCATGACTTTGGTGGCAGTGGTGAAAGTGTCGTCTGCATACCCTGGGGGTGGACAAAGGGCGGATCCTGGCCCCCAAAGGATATGCAATCCAGAAGAACAGCACAAGGGAGCAAACATAGCAAGGGAAGAGGAAAGCAGGAGGAAGAAGATGCAATCATTGCCAACATCGCCCAGCTAGAGCAAGGAGCCTTCCCACAGACACATCTCCCATCAGCCCCAGCCGAGCCAGTGTTCAGGGATCAGGACATAAGAAGAGGCTTGCTGGATCAGGCACACAGGGAAGGCTCAGGTAGGGTGACCGGCAGCGATGTCTCAGGATTAAAGGGCAGAGGGGCAAGGAGAAGCTGCGTACCAAATTCCAGCAGGTGGGGCTGCAGGCGTTTGTGCCACAGATCAGCAATTGGTCCTCATATTTTTCCAGGAGTGTGAGATAGTTCTTGGCATTTTCCTGGAAGAGAAGTGAAGGCGGTTAAGGTGAAGAATCATAGAACTGTAGAGTTGGAAGGGACCCCAAAGGGTCATTTGGTCCACCCACCCCACCCCCCGCTATGACGAAGAGGACCAGAAAACGACCCCCAACCACCCACTCCCATCCTGGAGATCCCACCAACAAGACAGACTCTGTCTCCCCAAGGCCTGCACAGAAGGACCTCCTAATTTGAAGGTAGGGATGGGGAACCGAGGGCCCGAGGGCCAAATGTGACTCTTGAAACTCTCCCCCAGGTCGCCCCCTCACAGGGCCTGCTTCACACTCTCCTTGGGTGGTTTTGCCCACCCGGACTCTGTCCTTGAACTCTTCTCTTTTTTGCCACTCGCTTGTCAGGTTAGAGGTCAGAGTTAGTGTCTGCGTGTACAAACTAGCTTACTACACAAGGGCAAAATCTGCACTCTGCTCACTTTAGCCTGCCACTGGCATCTGGCCCCTGGAACATCATCCAGAAGGGAATGTGGCCCTTGGGCTGAGAGAGACCTCTGTCTTATGGCTGTCAAATCCACATTTACTCCAAGCATCCGCAGATCTAGCAGAGGGACAGAAACTCTTTGCGAGTTTCTGAGCTGCAAAGTATCAGGCCAAGGAGAAGAGAGGAAGGGGAACCCCCCATGGCGTGGGAATGAAGAACGTCACAGCACCTGGCCCCTTCTGAATGCAAAGCACCTACTCCGTCACCGAGCTCTGGGCCCAATCCACCTGCTGAATCATTCAGCGCAGAAGGAGAACCCCTTTCTAGAGGTGGTGGGGGATTAGCTGCAGCAATTCCTCCAAACATCTATGTTTTATATTGTTGTAAACCTCTTCGCAGGCGGCGCTGTGGGTTAAACCACAGAGCCTAGGACTTGCCGATCAGAAGGCTGGCACTTCAAAACCCTGTGACGGGGTGAGCTCCCGTTGCTTGGTCCCTGCTCCTGCCAACCTAGCAGTTTGAAAGCACATCAAAGTGCAAGTAGATAAATAGGTACTGCTCCAGCGGGAAAGTAAACGGCGTTTTCGTGCGCTGCTCTGGTTCGCCAGAAGCGGCTTAGTCATGCTGGCCACATGACCTGGAAGCTGTATGCTGGCTCCCTTGGCCAATAAAGAGAGATGAGCACTGCAACCCCAGAGTAGTCCACGACTGGACCTAATGGTCAGGGGTCCCTTTACCTTTACCTTTTAAACCTCTTCGATATATTTCTATGATACTCTGGGGTAAAATACTTTTATAAACAAACAAGCAAACTTACCTGTTTCCTGCAGTTGGACAGCGTCCTGTTGGTTTCAACAAGCACCTGAATGAAAGGAGGAGACAAGATGCCCACGTCATTTTTAGGTCAGCTTGTCTAGGTGCCTAAAAGTTCACAGCCTCCCACAACAGAGAAACAGCGGGAGGAAATGCAGACTGGATTTTAGGCGGCACCTGTAACAGGTGCCACAGTTCCACAGATCAAAGTGACGGAGGGGGCACAAACAAACTTCTTCTAATAATAATAACACCCAAAACCTGGCCCAGTAACAAATCAGCAACCCGTACAGATCTCGGGGTCTCACCCGTGTCAGCACCCAGGCTGAAGCATTCTGAACTCACTATAGCTTCCGGATCAAACGTGAGGGAAGTCCCACAAAGACTGCACTGCCATCATCCAGTTTTGAAAGACATGACATTAGGAAGTATTTTCTGAGGGTAAGAGACGTTCGACAGCAGAACGAACTTCCTCAAAAGGTGGTGGAGATCTTTAAGCAGAGGTCAGATGGCCATCTGCCAGAGATTCTTCAACAAGATTATTAATGTGTTCCCTTCCAACTCTACAATTATGATTGCTGCTGGGACTGGGGTTGGGTTCAAGGTCCAGGCTGTTCCCCTGGATAGGGAACCTGACAGTCTAGGGGAGGAGAACAGAACAGTGTATCCCCAAAGAGGGCCTGGCTGGCAGCCTGAACTCTGCACTGCCACAGTAGTCCCACTTGTCCTGATGTTTACCATGAGAGCTGGGAAATTATGAGTGCTGGAAAGTTAACAGCTTCTTCATTCCCTGAGGCTATACCAAAGCAATTAATTTGTCATTGAGACTTTGACATTTTTCCAGACCAGCTAGCTCCCTGAGGGAACTGATTCTTCCAAGTCTGCAAGAAGAACATTCGTTTGACATGAAACTGACAGGAGAGACCCTTTTCCAAATTTAGGCAGACTTCCAAACGGCTGGATTATTCTGAATTAAAATGGAAACTACAACTCCAAGATCTAATCTGTGCTTAGATGGTGAAGGAGTCTTCTCTGAATAAAATGTAACTGGAAACAGAGCAGGATTTGAAAAGTTGTTGCCATCTGTCTTCTCTGGAGGTGAAGTCAAACCACTGTGTGAGCAACACCAAAGTGACCTCCTCGGGGCACAGGCCTGGTCAGTGTGCTTGGAGGTCCTGGGCTGCCCAGACAAGACCCCCTCTTGGCCTCACTGATGGGGTCCAAAGGAAAGCAGAGCAAGACCTTTGGCACCAGCTTGGCTGCAGGTATTGCCGGAAGGAGGCGTACAAGGTGCCACCCAACTGTTTTAGGGACTCTGGATTTGTGTAGGCTTTACTCCTTAGCCTTTTCTTCTCCCAAAGATATCCCACAAGGCAGTAGAAGCTTAGGATCAAAATTTCTTTCTCCTAGATGGGCTACCTTCTCAGGTTGATGAGCCCCATCTGATCCTCACTTCCCTCTACAGCACATGCAGAAACTGCCTTCTTGACCGCTTGACCCACAATTGGTCTCATCTGCTCAGTCTGCCGGAGTCTGTCTTCGCATGCAGCGCAGGTCCCTAACTCACTGAAGGTTTGAGACTCACTGGCTGCCCTCACCTGGTTTAGCTGGCCAGTCAAAGCCATTTCCTGGGAATGTGGCCGCTGTCGCCTGCTGACAGCTTCTAGGAACCACAGGGGAGAGCTGTGTGCAGGGTGGGAACCAAAGGTAGACAATTACCCTAGAAGGAGCACAACGTGTCCCCCACCAGAGGTACTACCCCTCCCCTAACACTCCATTTGAAAAGTAAGCAACCTTTTTCTCATCTCTCAACAGCACCCCGGGCTGCGTTTCCTGGGAAACCAGTTGGTATTCGAGGTTTGGCAAATTGCCCTTCTTGAAAAGGTATCTCATAAACTAAAAGGGCAGAGCTCAAATGACTGGTTTTTTAACATATGACATGATTTTATTCCGTATACAAATATTGAGGCATGTAGTGACTCAGTGCTACCAGTTTACGTGAATATCTGGGAAACCGAAGCCTTTACAGAACCTTTATTGTCAATGATGATGGAACTCACTGGTGGAAGATGCTTCTGTTTTTATACTTTTTATTTGTAAAGTGAATCTTTGTAGGAGTTAATACTTTTCCTTTGGAGCTGTATCTTTGTACTTTGTATATTTCATGGCTTAAATTTCGGATTCTTTCTTTTCCCTTCCCTTTTGTTACATTTGCACTTTTTGTGAATTAAATAAATGAAAAGTTAAAAACAAAAAAGAAATTTGTGAAGCGTTGTCCTCCATCTCCCTACCGTAAAGCTGGTGGAGTTCTCAAAGTTGTAGTAATGAAGCGTGCCGACTGTCCCCACAAAGACCGAGGGGGCCCCTTGTTCATGGAAGAGCACAATGTGGCCCTCCCTGGGATCAAACCGGAATCTCTTCTCACCTACAAAAATACAAAAAGGAAACAGGATTCGACACCGCATTGCCAATTCCGGAGAGGCAGGTTCTGCAGACATTCCACAGAGGAATTGTGCAGCAGGGAGGCATACCTAACCGACTGGTTTTTCCCACCCTTAAGAATATAGGAAGCTGAGAACAGAGGAAGCTGGCTCATTCTGAGTCAGACCATTAGCCTAGGGTTACCAGATGTCCCGGGTTCCCAGGGACAGTCCCCGGATTTGCAAATCTGTCCCCAGGAAATATGGCAGCGGCAGCCTCAGCTCTGGCAAGCTGGCTTCAGGAGCTGCTCGCTGCCCGCTGACGTGGCGCCCGCCATTTTTCCTTACCGGAACTTCCAGCGAGGCAAAATGGCAGGTGCCACGGCAGCGGGCAGCTCCTGAAGCCAGCCAGAGCCAACTGCGCTACCAGGCTGGCTCCGGGCTGCTGACTGCCACTGCTGCCGCAACTGCCGAAGGAGAACCAGGGACGTCCGGTGGTACAGATCTCCTTCCCCCTTTGTTTTGACTGATCTGGGGACGCTCGGGAGTTGCAGGCGGCTGGCCGTTGCCCAGTTTTTTTAAAATTCTGTGCATTTATGTTTCACAGGGTGTGAAAGAAGGGCTTTGCACCTTTATACAATATGCATGTGTGCCTGGGCCCAGGGTCTTTTGCCTCACCATCCTCACTACTGACTCCCTGTTGCTACTCAGCTTCATTGAAAAACAATCTGCTAAGCATACATTAGCCACCTAAGTTCACAGCTGTCTGCACTGACTGCCAACAATGGCACTCCCGGGTTTCAGGCAGGGGTCTCCTCCAGCCAGGGAGGAGAGACCCATGGCCCTTCCCGCGTGGAGCTCCCTTCAGTCCCCATTGACACAGCCAGCAGTCAGGGATGGTGACAGATTGAATCCTCCAACACTGGAAGATCATGGGTCTTTTACACCTTTGGCTGTAACCACTGGTCCTACACTCCCCAAACCGCTCCACCCCCCAAGCAGCTATATTCCTTGGAAATAGTTTTATTTCCAAGGAGCAGGGGCATTCCAAGGGAGCTCGCTTACTTATTAAACTTGCTCTTATTTATTTATTTATTTGTGGGGATGCGGGTGGCGCTGTGGTCTAAACCACAGAGCCTAGGGCCTGCCGATCAGAAGGTCACGGTTTGAATCCCCGCGACGGGGTGAGCTCCCGTTGCTCGGTCCCTGCTCCTGCCAACCTAGCAGTTCGAAAGCACGTCAAAGTGCAAGTAGATAAATAGGTACCACTCCGGCGGGAAGGTAAACAACGTTTCGGTGCGCTGCTCTGGTTTCGCCAGAAGCGGCTTAGTTCTGCTGGTCACATGACCCGGAAGCTGTACGCCGGCTCCCTCGGCCAGTAAAGCGAGAGGAGAGACGCAACCCCAGAGTCGGCCACGACTGGACCTAATGGTCAGGGGTCCCTTTACCTTTTATTTATTTGAAGCATGGTAGTAAGAGCTGTTTGACAGTGGAACAGCCTCCCTTGGAAGGTGGGGGGCTCCTCCTCTTTTGAGATTTTGAGAGAGAGGTCGAATGCCCACCTGCAGGGGATTCTTGTGCTGCAATTCCTGCTTTGCAGAGTGCTGGACTAGATGAAACTCTGAAGTTCAATGATTCTAGGACTCAAACACTCCCCACACCTGTTCCACTCCAAAATCACTGGCCCCAAAAAAATTAAAAATAAAATAAAAGCCAAATGCAGGAGGGGACGTGATTTTGAGATGTTATTACATAGAAACATAGAATCATAGAATCAAAGAGTTGGAAGGGAACTCCAGGAGTCATCTAGTCCAACCCCCTGGAATGCAAGAATCCTTTTATTTATTTAGAGGTATGTGTGTGCGTCTTTGCTTTGGCCTGTGGAGAAATTCAATACGTTCGATTTTATTAGTCTGCAGACAGAGTCAATACATTAGACTTTGCTCTACAGCATCCATTTCTCATGAATCCATTCAGAAGGGCATCCTGTCCTGTGACAGCATCCCGTTTCCAATTTACTGAGGTTGAAAACAGCACAAACATCTACAATTATTTTGGCATGTACTTTTTTAAAAAATCCTAAATATGCAGTTAGATACTTTGAGCCAAGAGCCAAATTGCAAAATTCAGAAAAGTGACCCCACCCAAAAAGATGCCCTGCTCCATCTGATTGTCCAAGAAGAGAGAACCTGGTTGGTTCACTTAAAACAACAACATGGGATGGGTCAAAAATCCCAGGAACCCTATTAGGCTTGCACATCACATTTCCTTAGGTTCTTATTCTGCTGAGATGATCAGATACTACTCTTTATCCTCTAGGTTCTAGAAACCAGCGCCTCCTTTGAAGGCAGCTTTCCCATCAGCACCCATAGAATCATAGAATAGAATCATAGAATCATAGAGTTGGAAGAGACCACAAGGGCCATCGAGTCCAACCCCCTGCCAAGCAGGAAACACCATCAGAGCACTCCTGACATATGGTTCTCAAGCCTCTGCTTAAAGACCTCCAAAGAAGGAGACTCCACCACACTCCTTGGCAGCAAATTCCACTGTCGAACAGCTCTTACTGTCAGGAAGTTCTTCCTAATGTTTAGGTGGAATCTTCTTTCTTGTAGTTTGGATCCAATGCCATTTCCAAAGTCTGGAAGGAATGTTCTGCACTGGGCTGTTTGCAGGCACACACCCAACTGGAACTTGTGATGCATCTAAGTTATCAGGCCACCCACATGCCCTGCTTGTCTCTCGATCAGCCTCATGGGGAGGGACCTGCAGGATGGCACCTTCTCAGTGGTGGCTCCCGGTTTGTGGAATGCCCCGCCCCCCAGCAAACTGCACCTGTCTCCTCCATTAACTTATTTGAAGAAGATTCAAACAACATTCCCATTTCCCCAGGCCTCTGTTAGTGGAAAAATCTGTTCCTGCCAAACCATAAATTATTAGTTGTGAGGTGACTGGCTTGGGGTTTATTTAAAGCATGTAAACTTTTTTTTAGAAGGTTGTTTTTAAGCTATTGGTTAGAAGTTTCCATTGCATTCCGGTTTTGACGTATTTGCCACCCTGCACTCCTTCAGGAGGAGGGGTGGAGCTACACACCTAGTATTTGATTACTTAATTCACAATCTGGCAATGTCCTTTGTGAGGCACACAGTCCTGTATGCAGCTTTCAGCTGCAATCTATACCTATACTGAGGACTTGGCTACAACGGACGTCTGTTTGTGTACAGCGATTTTCCTCTTTGAAACACAACCAGTTCCCTCCAGAATGTTCCCGCCGGGCACTCCCAGCCTCCTCTGATCCTGGGAAGTAGGTCAGAACAATTAGCCACAAAAGACAGAGAGCAGAGGCATAACAGCAGCTTGCCCCGGGGCAAAACAAAACAATGCCAATATCAAAAAGCCCACTTGCCAACTCTTCCTCCTCCTACTTGACCCAGCTCCTAGATGGGTGGGTGGAGAAATAATAACACCACGCAGTTCTACTCTGGAAGCTGCAACTCTGGAAGCTGGAAGCAGAGCTCACAGGACACGGCCACAATGGGTGTGTTCTAACTCCACTGTACGACCAGTGCAACCACACTGGGCGCTGTGATGGAGGGGGCGGCACAATAATGTTGTATAACAGAGCGGGGAGGACACCACTGAAAGTTGAGCGCCCACAGTCTGTCACTGCCCTGGGAGGCAGTATGCCCTCGAGTACCAGCTTGGGGGGACGACGGACAGAAGTGGGCAGAGTGCCCTTGAGCTCAGGCAGTAGCATAGCATGGGTTGCCAGTGCCCGGGGAGCAGCAAGTATTGCAAATTCATTGAGGGTCCTTCTCCTTGATGCAGTTGTGCCGCCTTTGCATACAGAAGTCTTTGGGATGAGAACAGTGACAGAGAATGAGTGAACTTCTGCTACCAGATGAGCTGAAACGGTTTATGCTGTATCTTTGTAAGTGTTTTGCATTGCCTGATGGGTTATTAAAGTGTTGTTTCTTATCTGTGTCTGTCGTCTGATTGCACCCCAGTTCTCAACAGCTCCAGCCAGCATGGCCAGTGGATCAGGGTGACCATAACTGGGAGCCCAGCAACATTTGGTGGGTCCACAGGATCCCGTCTCCTGTGCTAGAAGTGTGACAACTACCGCTGGAACCAGGCACGATCTTCTGGGAGACGGAGGGAGTTTCCCAAATCGCATCAAGCTGCAGTTGCACTTTCTGGCACTTGTCTGCCGCACCACTAGGGCTCGGGGATCCTTGCATATCCAGCAGAAGGGGGGTCATCACTACTGGAGGCCCCATCCCTGCCCATCAGGACCTGTTAAATCCTGACCTCTGGGCCTGCTGCTCCCCAGCATGGGCAAAGTTTCACAGAATCATACAACTGTTAGAATTCCTGCTCCATGATTGCAGTCATGGGATTTTTGTACATGACATGTTTTGACTCCACAGAGTGGGAAGTGACGGAGACAGGAATTTTTTGTTATTGTGTTCTGTGAAGTGGGACTATTGTCCTTCGTTTTTTTCTCTTTGCTGTCTGATGCTAGAGAGAAGGGGAGCCATGTTGCAGTGCTCTGTGTGTGTTTATATGTAAATAAAGTAGATTAGCCAAAATGCTGAGTTGCTGAGGTCTGCCACACGAACTGCACAGACTCTGCAGATCCCTAAGTGTGCCGGTGTCTGCTGGCATCAGTCACTGTGATGTTCGGGCAGAAGAAAGCTTTGGAAGCTCCCGAACGATCGACCAGGAGGGAGAGAACATGTCAGTTGGGCATGTGTCTCTGCCAGGGTCCTACTCGAGTGTAGGACGAGCTCCTGACAAGAACTGCATGGCTGAAAGGGATCCCCAGTGGTCATCGAGTCCAACCCGCTGCAGTGTGTGAGGACAGCACAGACCGCGCAACTGATCTCGCCGCTCACCTGATTTTGATCACACTGGGAACAGAAGCAGGTCACATTTCAAGCACTGCACCATGAAAAGCTTCATGGGCCAATTTCCACTATTCACCTTTGTTTTTTAAATAGTACGCCAGGGATCTTCCTTCTCTCCCTCGCCCCCTCCTGTCGGCAAACCTTTTGGCTAATGACTTGTCTTCCAAAACAAGGCTCACCCCATCCTGCCCACTGCCTAGGGACTGAGAAAGGCCAAACAGCTCTATGGAAACCAAAGTTTGATTCGAACACACACCCTTCGGAATCAGAGGAGCCTCGCGTCAGGCTCCTGTCTACCCAGGGAATATTACCTCATTCTGGCAAGAGGCAGCAAAGCTTTCTTCTCTTGAGGTCTCTGAGTCACTGCTTATAATTGGAGGGGAAGGAAACCCTCATTATCATAGCAGATATGACAGCCTGCAAAGGATGCGCCTTATTGCCAATCCCTTGAGAGGTGGGAGAAATTCGATTCTGTTCCCCATAGAACTGCAGAGTCTTTCTTTCTTTCTTTCTTTCTTTCTCTCTCTCTCTCTCTCTCTCTCTCTTTCTTTCTCCTGTCCTCTCCTCCTCCCAAACACAACCATCCTTAGAAATTCTCTGGAATTTGTAATGTGGTTTTTCCAGCCAAAAATGCATATACTAGGATAAAGAGTGCATATGTATTAGTGAAAATAATCTATTACAGTGGTACCTTGGTTCCCAAACAGCTTGCCTCCCGAACAAATCGGCTCCCAAACGCCACAAACCCAGAAGTAAGTGTTCCGGTTTGCGCACATTTTTTGGAAGCCAAATGTCCGTTTTGGCTGTTGGCATTGTTTCCAATGCCAATCAGAAGCCACGCCTTGGTTTGCAAACGTTCCGGAAGTCAAATGGACTTCCAGAACGGACTGAGTTTGAGAACCAAGGTACCACTGTATATTGCTATTTATGGATTTTTATTTCCATTTTTTGCATTTTGATCTCACCTTTTTTGCAAGGACCTCAAGATGGTGTATGTGGTTCGCTCCCCATCATTACTCCCCATCATGGCAAACCAGTAGCAAGGCTGGCAGAGTGCAAACCCATGGGCAGGAGCACCAGATTGGCTCTGCCGGTGTGTCTGCACTGGGCTGACCATGCCACTGCCTCACCCCTCTCTCAGGAGGTGAACTAAGCCTCCCCTGCCCCACCAGCTGCTACCCATCTGGAGGGGCCCATCGCCAAGGTTCATGGTCTTTTCTGTTCCACCAGCTATAAGCCTCGAACAAGGCGCTTAGTGGTGCCTTACTAAGTGTGTGTCTGCAAAAATAAAATGATGGCCTTTGTTCTCCTGGCATTTTGGCAATTCAGTCAGGAGTGCCGAACAAGTGACACTGGTGGCTGGGGGAGGGAATGTGGTCACTCACACACAACAGAACACAGAAAAGCCGCCACGTGCCCCTGATGGATGTCATAGCTGCACAAAGGCTAGGGGGCAGGCAGCACACGACGACATGGCTCAGAACAGCCTGATTCAGTGGGGGAAAGAGCAACCAGTGTCTCCCACAAAGCAGGCAAAGTGCTTGCAATTTTCTCTCTCTGTCACTGCAGAGCGCAGACGTTTTTATTGCTTCCTTCCTTAAAGCTGCCAAGTCCTGCCCAGCCAGCTGAACAACACTTCCCCATACAAACCACCCTGCAGTCATTGCTTCTTAAAATGTCACTGCCAGCCTGGTGGTTGACGTTGCCAGCTGGGATCTAAGAGCCCCTTGTCAGATACTCGTGGCCCTCTGACCTGTGTAAATCTAGTAAAAGCTGCGGGTTGTTTCTTTTTTTTTAAGGAGTGCATTCCTAGAAGCAAACAAGTTAAATGCTTGGCAAGTGAAGAGGGTCTAAATCTACAGGCAGAAAAGTTGCAAAGGCAAATTTTAATCCTAACAGAGGGCCATAGCCAGCTGCGCCGCATAGACAGCTTGTGGCGACTTCAGAAGGAGACCCCTGTTCCCCCTCACAGAGATACAATTCCCGGGGGAGGTTGACCATCAATCTCCCTCCCCAGTGATTTCTGAAAACTCTGCATAAAAACCTCCAGCAAAGGGAGAGTCACCACCTTTCAAATGAGTCCTTTCCACTGCCAGCTTTCTGACCATCAGAAAGTTCTTCCTGAAGTTTAGTTGGAATCTACTTTCTTCTCCTTTGAATCTGTTGCATTAGATCAGGGGTCGGCAACCTAAGGCCCATGGGCCACAAGCGGCCCACAGGGGTCGTTTAACTGGCCCACGAGCCACTCCCGAACGGAGCTGCCCACTCGGCGAGTCCCTGCGTGCTGTGCTAAACCAGCGGCGAAGAAGAAGAAGAAGAGGAGGAGGAGTTTGGATTTGATATCCCGCTTTATCACTACCCAAAGGAGTCTCAAAGCGGCTAACCAGATTACGAGTCTACCGCTCTTAACCACACCACACCACACTGGCGCAGCGCGGGGACTCACTGGCGCAGCGCTAGAATGCAGGAATGCGCAGATGCAGACACCGGAAATCGCATCTGCACAGAGGCCAGAAATCGTGGGCACGCGCACTCACACGCACACACAATCCAGTCCACAGGGGGATCTCCACTGGAGTGAACCAGCCCAGGCAAGGTAAACCTTTCTGTCCCCCGCTTTAGATCCTGACCTCCACGCCAGCAGAAAACAAGCTCCGAATCACACCAGGTGGGTGCAGATGCCGAGAGACCCCAGAGGGCAGCTCTGGCCATTTCCTCCCTGGGAATGGGTGTTAAGTTGTGGGTGAACATATCAGACGACACAGAAATTCTTCAGAAAGCTCTTGTTTATTCACAGGCCAGAACAGAACTGAACTGAAGGGTTCAGCCAGCCTGCTTATATAGAGCTCCAGTACAACGCAACAGTAACAACTTTCTGTAACTATCCAGTCACTGAACGTCACTTTCAATTCCTTATTTGCATATGTGGACCTGAGTGAAAACTATCTACAGTATCCCCCTGCTGGCCCAGGGTGAGAACTTCAGCACATAACAGTGGGAAACCAGCAGCACCTGTGGAACTTCTGCCTGTCCAGTGCGTTTCCTCTGTGCAAAAACTCTGCACGTTTTGTCTGCACAAGCCTCTGTGGATAACGTCTGCAAGCAGTAACAGAGCAGCAGTGGTTGCCTCTGTGTGAGAAGGAGGAAAGGAAAGTCCAGACACTGTTCTTCTCTCTTTAACAGCGTTTATTTACAAGCCAAACAAAGAAGTCCATCCGAACTTGGACACATGCTGTGCCATGCACTCGCTCTCTCTAGCTTTCGGCGAAAAGTGAAACTAACTTCACACAGACACTGCCTCTGTGGATCCTGCCGCCCAAGGCAGTCATCACACCCGGCCTCATGGGTGGGCTGGCGGTGATCCATGCTGTAGGGCTCAGAAGGTGAGCACCACAGAGCAGCCTGTTTGGGTAGCCCTCCCAGGAAGAAGGCGACCCAGGAGGTGGGGAGTCAAACGAAGAGGCCTGGCTCCTTCCCTCAAAAGCAGAGTCTTGTGATCCCTCTCTCTGCTGCAAGAGCAGAGGAAACAAGAAGTGTGAGCTGGGGGTTCAGAGCCTCTCCACCTTCCCTGCCCCAGGGGATGTCAGAGGACAGAAGCCTGCAGGATTATGCGCAGAGAGAGCCAGCTGTTTCCTGCCTCAGCAGCCAAAAGCAGCCAAGGTCTGTCTGTAGCAGGAAGAGCATGGCTAAATATGACTGGATCTCCCAGGGTCTTTCCCCTCTGCTTAAAAGCAGCTCAGGAACAGGGCACGGGGTTCAATTTGGCACAGGGCTGTGGCACCAGGGAGAGACAGTGAAAACCTCCCCTTGTAATGGGAAAAAAGGCTTTGTAAAAATGTGGATATTTATGCACTGCTTGATTGTAAACAAAAACAAAAGCCAAAACCTCAAAGCTCTTTCAAAAAAAGAGATAAACAATAAGAAATAGACACTCATTTAAGACTTTCAAAAAATTAAAATAACAATAATAATTAAAACTCACACCAGCTTTCTAAATGCCTGCATAGGCTTACCTGGGGAAAGATGCCTTTAGCTGAAAAGAGTGCAGTGAAGGGGCCAGACTGATGTCAACAGGCAGGGAGTTCCAGAGTGGTATCTTACAAACGTGGAATGGGTCATATGTGGCACCTGCAACAGGGCCAGTTCCACAGGCTGAAGTGGCCAGGTGGGAGCATGTGGGGTTAGGCAATCTCGCAGGTAAACTGGTCCCAACTTACTGACACTCTATTGCTATTTGGGGGCTGGCTGTCCCCCAACTGTGAGCCTCACGTAATAGAGAGACTGATAACGTGGGTCAAACCAGGTGGGCAAGCTTCGCCTGGCGCACAGTCCCTTTTGCCAGGAGGATGGGCTTGCATGGTCAACCTCGGCCAGAGGTTCCTTCCGGGAAGGGTGCATCTCCTCCCTGCAGGAAATGATCTCATCCAGTTGCTTAAGCAGGAACCAATTGATGCCTGCTAAGATGTTATTTATTTAGGCAAGGCTACCTAAGAAGAGGGATGCTGTGGGTTAAACCACAGAGCCTAGGACTTGCCGATCAGAAGGTCGGTGGTTCAAATCCCCGCGACGGGGTGAGCTCCCATTGCTTGGTCCCTGCTCCTGCCAACCTAGCAGTTTGAAAGCACATCAAAGTGCAAGTAGATAAATAGGTACCGCTCCGGCAGGAAGGTAAACGGCGTTTCCATGCGCTGCTCTGGTTCGCCAGAAGCGGCTTAGTCATGCTGGCCACATGACCCGGAAGCTGTACGCGGCTCCCTCGGCCAATAAAGCGAGATGAGCGCCGCAACCCCAGAGTTGGCCACGACTGGGCCTAATGGTCAGGGGTCCCTTTACCTTTACCTAAGAAGAGCCTGCTGGATCAGGGCCCATCTAGTCCAGCCCCCTCCTCTCACAGGGGCTGATCAGGTGCCCCAACAGGAAACTAGCAAGGAGGGTTCAAGCACAAGAGTCCTGCAGCAACTGGTATTCAGATGCATCCCTGCCTCTGGCTGTGGAGGCAGAGTATGGACACATGGCCAGTAGCCATCAACAGGCCTCTCTTCCTCCATGAATGTGTCTAATCCTCTTTCAAAACCATCTAGCCTCCTGTGAGAGTGATTTTATTGTGCATATCTGTGCTTAAAACGGTTAACTTTTGTCCATTTTAAAAAATAATTTCATGGTCTGCTGTTTTTCAACTTTGACCTCTAGTTACACCGTGCGCCCCCAGAGCTGGAACTCTCCACACTGGGGGTGTTCATCATCACATCACATCGCACACTGAGGCACAGGGGCTCTTCTCATCGAAAACAGCAAAGCCACTTGCCCGTCAACCCACTGTCTCTTCCCAGTTGCGTCTCCTCAAATGCCTGGTCTATCATTACAGTGGCTGCATTCAGGGCAAAGCAAATTAAAATCACATGGTCAGCTCAAGGCCGAACCTGCTCACCCTCCCTTGCATCACATGTAATAACAGCTTGGTCTGTGGCTCCATTTTAAGTAGAGGCTACCATCTGACACACCCTGAGCCGTTTCATCCGGAACATCAGAAGAGCCGGCAGAAGAACATCGAGTCCAGAATCCTCTCCTCGCAGTTGCCTGTGGGAAACCTGCAAGCAGGATCAAAGCCATCCTGCTCAGAAGCTGCTGCTCGCCCTCGCCTCCTCCATGAATTTGTCTAATCCTCTTTTAAAGCCAACTGGGGAGTTAATGGCACATTGGCAAGCAGAGAACCAAGACGCTTCTAACCCACATGTCCAAACAGCCACCTCCTCCTCTTCCCAGTTGATCCCTCAAGTTCAAAACCTCCATGGGAGAGCTGAGCAGGCCAAGCCTGACAGCAGGAAGTCCAGGGTTCAGCCCCATCCCCATCCCAGCAGCGTCTCCAGGCAGCACGGGGAATGTTCCCTGCCTGAGACCCTGGAGAGCTACTTGCAGTCAACATAGATTGATTCATGAACTGGCCAGTATAAGATCAAACTATCCCTGCTATTATGGAAATCACACGTTCAGTGGGAATTTCAAGCGGGCTGACTGCCAAGAAAGTGTGCATAGGATTAAAATGTAAGTCTGTCCGAGTCACAACCCAGAGTGCTCCTGTTTTAAAGCCAGCCATGCCCTTTCCAAAGTTACTCCATTTCGACTCTGGGTAAAAATTAGTTGCACAGCCCCCATTGTTTTATTTTTAGCACACCACTTTGATGTTTCATTATAATCAAGTAGTATTAGAATGTTCGTTATCTCATTTGAACTTGAAGTACCAAACAGGTTAGATATTGACTTTCTATTATTCATTACTAATTTTATGGCTGCATTTACAGCCCACACCCTTCTTTCATCTGCTCATCAGCAAGCTTGCTGCATCCAGCGCCTCCAGGACCAGGTGCTGAGGGCTAACAAGTGTGCAAAAGGCCCCCGCAATTATCTTCAGCAAAATGTTAGAGGACATGCAACTCTTCTCCACCATTGTTATGCATCTCAAGAAACCAAAGACGTTGCACAAATGCCCTTTTAGCAGATAATGCACCAGTTTCTTTCCAATCAGGCAGGCAGCCAGGGGTTACTGACCGGGGAAGCTTTCACAGAGCTGGAAGCCTTGTGGTCAATTTGGTATTTAGAGTCATCTTGGGCAGGGGAAAGCATTTTTCCTGACTTGGGAGTGAGTGTATGGAAATTGGACTGCTGTGGGACATGGAACCATTTCAACTGTGAGTTCTCATTTGTAAAAAATGAAACAGCTTTGGAAGCTGCCTTATACTGACTCAGACCTTTGGCCCAGCCAGCTCCATAGGGCCTTCAACCTGGGGTCTCTCAGGTGTGGTTGGACTACACCTCTCACCTTCCCTGACCATTGGTTAAGCTGGCCAAGGATGATGGGAATTGTAGTCCAACCACTTCTGAGGACCCAAGGTTGACCGACACAGGTCCACGCTGACTAGCAATAGTGCCACTCCCCAAAAAGGCAAAAATGAAGACCCCCCAAAAAGGTGGTATTGATTTAGGACAGTTGGTGCTTATGGAGGAACCTTCTGATATTACTTATTACCCCTCCTTCACCCTAAGGTCCCAGGGCAGGTTACAGAATTAAAAATAACATTAAATACAAATGAAAACAACTTACAGCCATTAAAAAATATGGTGATTGTGTCAATTCAGCTGTTTAGTTTTTCTCAGAGCTGGGAGGCCTCTGCGCCCACTCCCAGCACCGTAAATAAATATTTATGCCCAAAACCACGTCTAGAAAGTATATTATTCATCTTTCTAGGGTTCACCACATTATTCCTATTTAGATGAAATATGCTGTGGTCTGAGATGTGTCACCACCTCAGGGGAGAACAGCTGGACAGCTCTTGCAGAGGCCTTGGCTGTGCTGAAAAACAGCTCCTGCTTTTACATTAATTGCTAAGTTTTGGATCAGTACTCTGTTTGGAAAGGGGAGGAAATCCATCCTTGAACAATATTTTGGCTTTAAAATTGTATGCAGAATCTGGCTTGCCAAGAAAGGAAGGGGTGCGGCTCAAAATGCCCCAGGTTTTATTTATTTACTGAATTTATATACCACCCTATACCCAGGGGGGTCTCAGGGCAGTTCAGGGGTCTCCCCAGTATCTCCAAGTAGGGTTGGGTGAGACTCCTGGTCTGAAATCTTGGAGGACCCTTGCTGCCAGTCCGTGTAGACACTGCTGAGCTAAGAAAACCGCTGGTCTGGCTGGGATTAAGGCAACTTCCTACGCTCCTGGACTATTCCAGACTGGCTTCAAGGACAGAGATGTCCCAAAGGCAAGGAGATGATCAGTGGGATTTCCTGCCCTCACCCTCCAGTCTTCCTTGGAGGCAACTTTATGCCTCCTCTACCTACTAGGCACTTATGACCCCCATGGCGGAGGAGCGAGGCTGAGCAGCTGAATCTCATTCAGCCCATGATGGGGAACCTGCAGCCGCCCAGATGTTGCTGCCCTGCAACAGCCATTGGGCCCCAGCCAGCATGTCCAGCACTCAGGGAAACAAACTGCGGCCAGCAACATCTGGAAGGACACCTCTGACTGGTTCCACAGAATCCGCCCCAGCAGGTCCAACAACACCAGACAGGGTAGGAATTTATTACCAGAAACTAGGCACCAGAAAATAGAACCTTTTAAGATTCAACCTTTTTTTGAGTCAAGACTTTGAACACTGCCTCTAATCCTACCCAAGATTGGCCTCCCTATGACCTGCGTACCCAGGATGGGGGGAGGGAACAAACCTTTAAAATCAAAAGTAAATAAATGTTTTCCAAAAAGGTGTTTCTACACAAGTTTTCAGGTGCCCAAGCAACACTCACTTCACTTGTCTACAAGTCTTGGAATGTGGCTTTGTTTCAGTATGAGCTGAACGAGGGCCAACTCCCAAATTCTAGTCTGCAGGAATGTGGAGCCGAGATAACGAGGAAATGAGCAATAGCAGAAAAAAGCAGAGCCTAGGAAAGAGGAAAATGAGCAGAAGGAAAAAATAATGAGGACAGGAGAAAATGCTCCCTCTTATCTGAAAGTCAAACCGCTTTAAGCCAGTTGTAAGACGCGGGTGGCGCTGTGGTCTAAACCACAGAGCCTAGGGCTTGCCGATCAGAAGGTCGGCGGTTCGAATCCCCACGACGGGGTGAGCTCCCGTTGCTTGGTCCCTGTTCCTACCAACCTAGCAGTTCGAAAGCACACCAGTGCAAGTAGATAAATAGGTACCACTCCGGCGGGAAGGTAAACGGCGTTTCTGTGCGCTGCTCTGGTTCGCCAGAAGCGGCTTAGTCATGCTGGCCACATGACCCGGAAGCTGTACACCAGCTCCCTCGGCCAGTAAAGTGAGATGAGTGCCGCAACCCCAAAGTCGTCCGCCACTGGTCAGAAGTCCCTTTGCCTTTAAGAACATAAGAAGAGCCTACTGGATCAGGCCAATGGCCCAACTAGTCAAGCACCCTGTTATCACAGTGGCTGAACAGTTGCCTGTGGGAAACCTGCAAACAGGATCGAAACACAACAGCCCCTTCTGCCCTCCTGTAGTTTCCAGCAACTGGCCTTCCAAAGATTTCTGCCTCCAGCTGTGGCGGCAGAGCAGAGCCATCGTGACTAGGAGTCCTCGGCAGCCCAGGAATTTATCTAATCCTCTTCTAAAGCCCTCCAAGTTGGTGCCCATCGCTGGCTGCTGTGGAAGTGAGCTCCATCGTTTAGCCGTGTGCTGTGTGAAGAAGCACTTTTTTCTTCTGTCCTGAATCTTCTAACATTCAGCTTCACTGGATGAGTTCAAATTTTTACTTGTCTCGGAGCACCACTGGGCAGTCAGCCGGGCGCTCTCACTCCCAGCTTGATTTTGGTCATGGAGGGGTCAGCGGTTCCCCCAGTTGACGCGCCAGGTGTCCCCCAGTTCCCCCTCAGCAGTAGCAGCGGCAGTCTCAGCAGCCCGGAGCCAGGCTGGTAGCGCAGTTGGCTCTGGCTGGCTTCAGGAGCTGCTTGCTGCCATGGCGCCCGCCATTTTTCCTCACCGGAAGTCCCCATATGATGTGTCCTGTTGAACCAATCACACAACATTCATTCCCTACTACTACTACTACTAATAATAATAATTTATTATTTATACCCCGCCCATCTGGCTGAGTTTCCCCAGCCACTCTGGACGGCTTCCAATCAAGTGTTAAAAACAATACAGCATTAAATATTAAAAACTTCCCTAAACAGGACTGCCTTCAGATGTCTTTTAAAGATAGCTGCTTATTTCCTTCACATCTGAAGGGAGGGCGTAATAAATCAACAACACTTAAAATATTAATCAGGGGACATTAAATGAAATTCGGGGACGGATTTTGTCCGGGGACATATTTGTAAATCCGGGACTTGCCCCGGACTTGCCCCAGGAAACGGGGGCATCTGGTAACCATACCCCAAAGTCTCTGTTCATTGGTCACCTTGTGTCAAGCCTATCACTGTCCGCCAAAGGTCTCCATTCATTGGTAAAAACATGAAAAGAGCCTTCTGGATCAGGTCAATGGCCCATCTGCTCCAGCATCCTCGTCTCACAGCCACCGACCAGATGCCCAAATTGGAAACCTGCAAGCAGGACCCGCGCACAGGACCCCTCTCCCCTCCTGGGGTTCCATCAACTGGTTTTCAGAAGCATGCAGACAGCAGAGCCACTGTGACTAGCAGCCATTGATCCCCTTGCCCTCCATCCTTCCGCCCAATCCACGTAGGCGGCCATCATCGCCTCCAGTGGAAGCAAGTTCCCCAGACGTATGGCATGAGGAAGCGCACCCTGGATAAAGCCTATCAGGGTCCGCTGAGGTTCTGCATTCACTGGTCACCTTGGGTCAAACCTATCAGCGAGCCCTGCACCCCCTCTGAACTTTCCCCTGGCCTTTGCACAAAGCCAGCGATAGCCCAGAAGGGTTTGCAGCAGGGGTAAGAATGAACACTTTGTGCTGTGCAAAGGGAGTCATAGGATCCATTTGCTGGGGAACAAAATGCATTCAGAGGGGGAGGGAGGGGGAGGAAGGAAGGGCACAGACTGTGAGCAGAAAGAACTGTGTGGACCAAGAGGAAGCAAAGTATTAAGTAGTGGGTTGACAAAGGAACAGCAATCTCTTGCAAAGCCAAAGTCAGGCTTCTTGTTACATTGGTTGCGATAATTGGTTCTTCCGGACATTTTTGCTCATTGGGATTTTAAATAAACAATTAGGAAGGACCGACCCATTTCGTCCACACAGAAGCCTCTTAAGACCCATTTGTGCTACTGTAGCTTTTAGTCAAGGATACAGAATGCATATCATCCTACACAGGGTATTCTGCTGATACTTTTCTCCCAGTTATGGCCCTTCCATCGTTGCCAGTCAGGCAGGATGCAAAGCAAAGTCTTTTGGCCACTGAAATATGTCTGCATTAAAAGCAAAGACATGAATGCAAAGCACTGCTATTTCCATCTGGACACAGATTTTGTGCTTCATGCTTTGGGCACCTCAGAACATCAGAAGAGCCAGCAGGATCAGGCCAAAGGGCGCCCATCTAGTCCAGCATCCTGCTCTCACAGTGGCCAACCTGCAAACTGGACCAGTACAATTGGCACTGGAAAAAGCAAACAGGCGCCAGGGTCTTGCCACTCTTTAAGAGGGCTTTGAAACTCATATGTACTCCGACATAGTTAAGCCCCTCTGTCTCTACCACAGGTGCCTCCGTCTACCACAGAGAGGGTGACTGCTCACACCACCCACAGCAAAAAGCTGTTTGCCCAGGTAGACATGCAGGTATTCTGAAGCAGCTGCCAAAGGAGATACAGCTGCAAAGTAAGACAGAGAGGTGACACAATAACCATCTTCAAATATCTAAAGGGCTGGAAGATGAAGCCAGCTTATTGTCGGCTGCTCCAGAACGCGAGTGGCGCTGTGGTGTAAACCACTGAGGTTGGTGGTTCAAATCCCCACAACGGGGTGAGCTCCCGTTGCTCGGTCCCTGCTCCTGCCAACCTAGCAGTTCAAAAGCACATCAAAGTGCAAGTAGATAAATAGGTACCGCTCCAGCGGGAAGGTAAACGGCATTTCCGTGTGCTGCTCTGGTTCGCCAGAAGTGGCTTAGTCATGCTGGCCACATGACTGTACGCCGGCTCCCTCGGCCAATAAAGCGAGATGAGCGCCGCAACCCCAGAGTCAGCCATGACTGGACCTAATGGTCAGGGGTCCCTTTACCTTTACCTTTACCAGAAGGGAGGACCCAAACCAAAGGACAAGAAAGGAGACTGCAGCTGAATGTTTAAGGGTCCCTTCCAACTCTAAAGTTCTGTGATTCATTGCAGGTATTCAAACAGAAGTTGGATGGCCATTTGCCAGGTATTCTGCAGCTGTGATTTCTGACTTGCAGGGGGCTGGACTAGGTGATTCCTGGGGGGTCCCTCTCAACTCGGCGACTTATGATGCCTTCATAATGCATTGTCTTTTTAGAAATACTCCCTTTGCAAAAACAAAAAACAAAACAAAAACTCCAAAAAACAAAAGGATCTCTCACAAAAGGCTCCCTGGCCTGCGGATCTGAATCTTGGGTGGGAAGTCAGATCGCATCCGAGACAAAGGAGAAGAGTCGGTGGAAGAAGATTGGAAAAAGTTTAAAGACTATTTACAGAAATACTGTAAAATTAATGAATGTTAGAAAAATGTTGGAATGAAGTCATACGGCTTTAGTAGAAATGTTATAAGGAATTAAGTATAAATAGATCAATAGAGTATTAAAGGGAAAAATAAGGTTAGAATCTGTTAAGATAATTAAAGGATAGAAAGCAGAGGAAGATGGAAAGGAATTGCTGAAACAATCAACAGAAGTGGAATACAAAAAGGGAGGTGTGAGGAGGTCACTGAAATAAGTGAATGAAAGATAAGATATTGAAATTGTTTGATGTCTTTTAAATTGTTTTTGTTTTGTTAGTTTAAGGTGTTATGTAGTGTTTTTGTAATGTATTGTATTGTTCTTTTTTTTTTCTTCTTTTTTTTGTGTGTGTGTTTAAATTGTTGCAAAAGTAATAAATATTGTTGTTGTTTTTTTTAAAAAAAAGGGAAGTCAGATCACATCATGTCCGGAGCAGGAGCTAACCTGCGGCGGAGCAAACGTCCCAAGGTCAGAGGACCAGAAGCAGACTGCAGACAAAGACTGGCACGGCTTCTGTGGGAACATGGGACACGGAGGATGTAGATCGGTTCTTTTGTTTCTCACAGCTGCATGTTCTTAGCCCATGTCTTAGCCCACAGCTATGTTCTTAGCTGTGTCCAAACAGCTAATTATTCACAGGGCTCAAGTCACCGCCCTCCATTAGCCAAGAACTCCATTGCTCTTCCAACAGGCAAAAGCAGGCAGTAAAAAGAAATTAAGGGTGGAAGACTCTAAATGCAGACCTACTGGGGTATTAAAAGGTAAAGGTAAAGGACCTCTGGGGTTGCGGTGCTCATCTCGCTTTACTGGCTGAGGGAGCCGGCGTTTGTCCGCAGACAGTTTTTCCGGGTCATGTGGCCAGCATGGCTAAGCCGCTTCTGGCAAAACCAGAGCAGCGCATGGAAAGGCAGTTTACCTTCCCGCCGAAGTGGTATCTATTTATCTACTTGCACTTTGACGTGCTTTCGAACTGCTAGGTTGGCAGGAGCTGGGACCGAACAATGGGAGTTCACCCCATTGCAGGGATTCAAACTGTCGACCTTCCGATTGGCAAGCCCAAGAGGCTCAGTGGTTTAGACCACAGCGGAGTATTAATGGGCAAACTGACAACCGGCATCCGAGAGAGTCAAACGGAAAAAAACCCCCCACTCCTTTTCAATCCACCTGACATGGCTTTATAACATAGGCAACATCAAGAAAACAGAGCTAGAGGCCTCTGAGGACATGTGGCAACTTGTGGAGTGATACCTTTGTTTAAAAACTGAAATGGCTTACAATTACATGTAATTAAGCTGTTATTTAGTACTTCTGTGTGGGTGGTACTGTTGAACCTTAATTGTTGCTTTTGCATATTTCAGAGAAAACAATTTAGGAATACTTTTAGGAATAAGCCTAGGGTCTTGGAGGCAGGCTGAGGTTCCTGGAAATGGGCTGCTGTTTCCTTGGCTGGGGACAGCAATTAGGCCACCATGATGTGAACCAGCAATCTCTTGGGTCTGTGGCCTGCAGGCCACATCCATGACATGGGATTTTGTGTCTAGCAAGGCTGGAATTGAGCTGGCCGGACCTCAGAGCCCTAGGGAGCAAAAGTGGAAAGAAATGGAAGAGAACTTGGGCAAATTCTCCCAGTTCAGATGTACTGACTTCTAGCCTCCTGTTTGGAGCTGCTTGCTTGCCTTTCCCCCCCAAATGGACAAGACTGTGGCTGCTAGTCCCATCAGAGCTATGAGAGAGTCTCCCCGCTGCTCTGACAACTGTGCAACCATCCCCACCAAAATGGCCCCAATTTCATGGTCTGTGAAGGGGGCTGCAAAACACCTTTGGTATCTATAACTATACATTTAAACAAGGAGTGTGCAACCAAAAAAATGTCACAATGAGAGGATGCTATGAGCTGAACATGCAATATTCATCTTGCTGGCTCAGGGCCTGATGGGAGTTGGAGTCCTTTCACCATGGCTGTAGAGCAGGCATGGCCCTCCAGATGTTTTGGGACTACAACTCCCATTATCCCTAGCTAACAGGACCAGTGGTCAGGGATGCTGGGAATTGTAGTCCAGAAACATGTGGCGGGTCAAGTTTGGCCATGCCTGCGTAGAGCGGTATTAGTGAGGTGCCATGTTTGCAGTTTAGTTAAGGAGCACACAGCTAAGACATCTTCTGAAACACAGGACTGCAGCTTTAATAGTTGGATAGAAAAGGGACTTTCAACCTAACAAGTAACACCTGATGAAATTCCACCTCCCATACGATTGCCAGAGGTGAGGAAGGCCTCTCTGGCTACCCTATTTCAGAAGCTGCCTCAAGGATTAGTGTACAAAGGGCACTTCTAGATGGTTACTAATTCCGATGTGGGTTTTAATCACATCCTGACAAAGCCTGGTTGCACAACTAAAGTTGATTGAGTGCTCTGGAGCAGCAAACCTTTTGCCACTGCCACTGCCCTACCCCAAATAATTTTTGTGATAAAGTGAGTTGCAAGAGGATCCACTGGAAAGCATGGGGTAATGTGTACTCAGTGGCAATAAATCATTGGCCAAGGCTAAACTCCCCAGACAAACAAATCAGGGTGAGTGATCAGTAAGCAAGGTTTCCCTAGGGGAGGAGTTACAGGGCAGAACTCAGAGGCTCTAGGGTCATCTAGTCTAACCAATCTAGTCCAATGCAGGGTGCCAAGAGCTGCGCATGCCTCAATAGACTATATTATGGCAGGGCCACAGCTCAGTAAGAGAGCCTCTGGCCTCGTGTAGAAAGTCTCAAGCTCAATCCCTGGTGTCTCTGCATCAGGCTGGGAGAGACACCCTACTCGCCACTGCCTGAAACCCTGGAACCTAAAAACAGTTATAGTCCCCATTACAACAGGGCTTTTAAAACTGTGGCATAATGATAAAAGGACAAAGTCATTACAAAAAGTAAGCAGCACGGGACGAAAGAGGAAGTTCAGCCCGTCTGCTGGGAGGCCAAAATAGATAGATCTGCACACATATTTACAGCAGATGAGTCAGCGACTGTCTGTGGGCACATTTATTTTGAACCTCAAAGCCATGATGGAAACAAGAAGGCTGTAAGCAGATCAGCTCACAGCTTTCCTGAACTTTGGGCTACTGGCCCAATCCACAGCTAACCAAACATGCTAGCTACCTCCTCACCCTACGGAGGAGAGAACAGGGAGAAAGAGGGTTGGCCTTCCAGAGGCTACTAGTGTGTTTGGCACCTCCACTGTCAGAGGCAGTCTACCCCTGAACACTGGTTGCTGGGAATCACAAGTGGGGAGAGCTGCTGTCGCACTCAAGTCCTGCTTTTGAGAACAAGATGCTGGGTTGGAGAGACCTTTGGTCTGGTCCAGAAGGGCTCATTTATGCGCTCCATTGCCTAAAGTAGCATGCCTAGGAAGCAGAAACATGGAACCTCAATCAGGAGCATGCTGCAAATCTGGAGTGAGTCTCTCCACCATTTCCCCATCCCAAATCGCCCTCCCCTGGCTGCTATTTGCCCCTGAATTTACCATTTATTGCAAATAGCAGCTTGGGATTTGGGGTGGGGAGGTGGGACTGGTTACCTTTTATGGGAAAACATTGCAGTGTCTCAATGCAAACTGATTGCATGCTACCGATTTTGTGGGCCTGCTTTCCCTTCACAACAAAAGTGGTGTGTTACTGAAAAGTGGAGGAGGAGGAGATGATGACGACCACACTAAACATGGTTTTCCAACTTTGTGTGTATTAAACTCTCCTGGAAAATGCTCTTATCTTGGAACAAATCCTGATTTGGCAAAGTTATTAACACAGGGCAAGCTAAAAACCTGAGAGGTGAAGGATCGGAATTTGGAATCAAGCAGATAGGGTATAAACAAACAAACAGGATGAAAGAGCATCCTTTGTAATGAGCTGGTCTCTTAGATGCTGCTTTGGAATTGTATGCATAGGCTTACTTCAGAGAAGTAACTGGGGCATTAAAATGAAAATTTCAAATGGGTGGCAGATTGCTCAAGATGGAGCAACTAAGAACGGATCAAGGCCATGCGCTGCATTATGTAAATGTATGTAAGATGCTCAGCACTAAGGCCTAGGCTAGATACACACCAATGGAGGAAGCCATGGCTAATTTTTAACCGGCTCACTAAATGCAGAAGTTCAGATTATTGTGGGATCTGCCAAGAATAGAATTGCTAAATGTGTGGCAGTTTCAGAAGTTGCAGAGGAAGTTACGCTGAAACAGACACTGTTAATCGTCAGGCTGTAGCCATGTGCTTAAAATTTCCTTACTGTCTAATATTTCCGGAAGAAGTTTTGTTATTGCTGCACCGTCTTAATGTTTGGGGCAACTCTTTGTCGGAGTTCAAGGAGGTAAAAACCCTTGAGGAGGGTGCAGATCAGGGCTGGTGTGGTGTGTGCCAGAAGAGGAGAGAACCCCAAGCTGTTTTAGGGAGGCTCCATTTTGGGCCCCTAGGGACGTGGGTGGCGCTGTGGGTTAAACCACAGGGCCTAGGGTTTGCCAATCAGAAGGTTGGTGGTTTGAATCCCCGCAACAGGGTGAGCTCCCATTGTTCGATCCCAGCTCCTGCCCAACTAGCAGTTCGAAAGCACGTCAAAGTGCAAGTAGATAAATAGGTATCGCTCTGGCGGGAAGGTAAACGGCATTTCCGTGCGCTGCTCTGGCTCACCAGAAGGGGCTTAGTCATGCTGGCCACATGACCCGGAAAAACTGTCTGCGGACAAACGCCGGCTCCCTCAGCCAGTAAAGCGAGATGAGCACCGCAACCCCAGAGTTGGTCACGATTGGACCTAATGGTCAGGGGTCCCTTTACCTTTACCTATTGATCAACTACGATTCTATCAATCTTAATGTGGAACATGCCTTATGCAGAGTCAGACACTTGGGCCCATCTAGCTCAGTATTCCCCACACAGACAGGCAACAGCTCTCCAAAGTTTCAAGCCAGGAGAGGCCTATGTGAGGATGCCATGGAGGACTGACCCTGCTCCAGCACTGAGCTATAGCCCTTCCCCGGTCATCCACAACAACATTGGCTGAAGTGTGGCATTTTTCCAGAACGGAGAGGAGAGGTCAGCAATGAGGCAACACCCTGCAAGGCAGCAATGAGGTCAGTCTGTCTCCCAGAAGGGACGGAGGGCTGCGGTCATCCTGGGAGGACATCCTGCCACACAGGCACACTCCCCATAGCAGCAGAAGGATATGAAATAATTGGTTGAATTGAGGGTCAGAGCTGTGCAGGACTCCAAAGCCAGGAAGGCTCAGGGAAGGGGCCCTAGTTCAGCACCTGCTTTGCACAGAGAAGGTCCTGGGTTCAGGCGCCAACATCCTGCCAGTCAGTGTACACAAGTGGTTCCCAAGCTTTTGGGGGCCATTCCCACCTTGGCTCCATGTGCTCGGGAAATTGGTTTGCCCAACCCACCAAGGAAGACAATAACACAAGAAAATTCAAAACTGTAAGAATCAATGCCGCATTGACTCAAAATCCAATTAAAGTGATTTAGTTCCGTTAATTCAACAAAATGGATGAGCATGATCCATCAATACCTTCTCTGCAAAGTTTAATAGTCATTTACACCTTCAGCAACCCCGGCAGGCAACCCCACTGCCCCCCAAGGGATACTACCACCCACTTCGGGAGCCCCTGGTGTAGACAATACTCAGCTAGATGACCCATTATCCTTACTCAGGAGAAGGCACCTTCCCTGCTTCTTTGCTTCAGAAATGTCGCCAGGCACTTTCAAACCTGCCTTCACAACTTTTTTTTTTAAAATCGTTTTTGGAAATGCAAAGGATTCTGCACCCATTGCTTCTTTATAATGTGCAGATTGTGGAGTCTATGATCTTGGCAATTAAACAAGCGCAAGGAGAGCACCCATAAACAAAATCAGCCACACCTCCTACCTGGTGACACTGCAGAAACCTGAAGGGCAGTATTGGGCATTAAGTCATAAAGGGCCTGGAGGACCGCCTCTCCCCATATGGACTGATCCAGAACCTGCAATCATCCTCTGAGGCCCTTTTTCATGTCCTGAGAGTGGCAACATGAGAACAGGCATTTTCTGCGGTGGCTCCCCATTTGTGGAATGCTCTTCCTAGGGAGCCTCAGCTGGTGCCTTCATTACATATCTTTAGGCACCAGGCAAAAACATTCCTCTTCTCCCAGGCCTTTTAAATGTGTCTGTGGGAAGGAGCTTATTGGTTGGTTGGTTGGTTTGTTTGTTTTGTTTAATTATGTATTTTGTGTTCTCATTTTGTATGTTTATGTTGTGAACCACCCCGTAATCTTCAGTTGAATGGCAGTATACAAATTTTAACTACTACAACAACAACAACACCTCCCACGTTGAATCTTACTACATCTTAATCCTGACACGTAGGTCCTTCAGAGGCTTCCTAACCCCAGTCGTGAGTCAGGCTCAGCTTCTCAGGGTTATGCAATTCCTGGCATGCCTTGCAGGCTTATCAGGTACTACTTTAACAGCTCTGGCTTTCAAGGCCTGCAGCGCAAAGCATTACAAAACCCATTGTCTTAAGCTTTTCTGGTTTTGCTGTTCAGTATCCTGGCAGATTACAAACCACATTGACTGCCAAATCCTTTCATCATTCTGGATCAGTGATGCAAGGGATCACCACCTCACTGTGCAGGTTTTAATAAGGGGGGACAACCACTCACTGATCACTGAAAGCCTCGCTGCAATAGTTCATGCACTGGTTACTTCAAAACTGGATTACTGTGGAAGTGCTCTGTTCGCACTCTGCGCCACGCATCCCAGGCGCAGTGAAAGCCTGCTCTGCCACTGCTCCAGCCTGGTCAATTGTGAATAAGCAATCAGCATGCTTGGAAGGACCTATCTCCAGTGCCCCACTGCTGCCTCCTTGGTAATCCCACTGCCCCCCAGGGGGAACACTGCCTACTCTGGGACCCAATGCGCCACATCCTTGGTCTCAAATGAAAAATGAAAAAGGACCCCTGACAGTTAAGTCCAGTCGCAGACGACTCTGGGGTTGCGGCACTCATCTTGCTCTACAGGCCGAGGGAGCTGGCGTTTGTCCGCAGACAGTTTTTCCGGGTCATGTGGCCAGCATGACTAAGCCGCTTCTGGCGAAACCAGAGCAACGCACGGAAACACCATTTACCTTCCCGCTGAAGTGGTATCTATTTATCTACTTGCACTTTTTGGTGTGCTTTCAAACTGCTAGGTTGGCAGGAGCAGGGACCGAGCAACGGGAGCTCACCCCATCGCGGGGATTCGAATCAGCCGATCTTCTGATCAGCAAGCCCAAGAGGCTCAGTGGTTTAGACCACAGTGCCACCCGCGTCCCTTTGGTCTCAGATTTCTCCAGTTCCAAAAAGCTTCCTGCTCTTCCCAGAGAGAGAGAGAGCGCGAATGGTAGAGTCAGAAGGGACCATCTAGTCCAACCCCCTACAAAGTCATGGCAGGAGTGCTTTCTGCACACAGAAGTAGTTCTGTTTCAAGAGAAACAGAGAGGAAAAGGTGCTTTTCCAGGTCAGCTCTCTGGTCTTTCACTTCTCTTTTCTCAGAAGCAAGAGCCATGAAGCCAAACGCTTCTCTGGGCCTCTCTGTAAAATGCAAATGCTAACATGCAAATGCCAACCAAAGTGATATCACTGTAAAATGCAAATGCCAACCAAAGTGGTATCACGGCTGATGGAGGCATCCTTTGAGGTTGGGCCGCAACATATATGGCAACAAGTAGGGGGGGCTACATGTGGGTTGGTGGGGGCTCTGTTCCTGCAGCGCCATCAGGCGGGCCCCAAACACAGCAGGGCCGGCTCCCCACGTTTTGAAAGCAAGTGAAGGAATATGCCTGCGCAGCTAAAGAACCCCTCGGCCCACCTCTTCCCAGAAAGAGCTGCTGCTCAGTGGCAGAGCAGCTGCTTGGCATGCAGAAGGCACACTACCCAGCATCTGCAGGTAGGGCTGGGACAGGCCCCAGCCTGAAACCTGGGGAGTCACGAGGAGAAGAGGGCTAGTCATGGCTGCTGCCCACAACAGCTGGAGGCAGCTGGTGTCTCCAGCGCCGATCACGCGGGGAAGCTTGTGCCCATACGCATGCGCACACGCCATTTCCGGCACACTTCCGGGTCGGAAATCGCTTGTGTGCATGTGCATGGGCCTCCTCCGACCTGGATGTGCACCAGAAATAATGCTTGCGCATGAGCAAATAATGCTTGCACATGCGCACAAGCTATTTCCGGTGCTCCTCCGACCCGGAAGTGGGCAGCCGCACAGCGCAGCGCCGGTAAAAGCGGGCAGCGGCAGCGGGTGTCACCGCGAGCCGGATAAACGAGTCCCTCAGGCCTTATTCGGCCCGTGGGCCTTAGTTTGGGGACCCCTGCAACCCATTTTCTATGCTATGGATCCCCACATTATAGGTCCCTGACCAGGTCTTCTGTCACCCCCTTAAAACAAGGCTGGACACTTCTTTTAAAAAATGAAACAACAATCCTCATTGATATAGCTCAGAAAGATCAGCTCTCTAAAACCCTGTTAATGTCCTTTGGATATACCAGCCAAAGGGCCAGAGAGTCACCTACTTATCTCCTCTGATATAGGGCAGGGATCATCATTCCTCCACAGAGCCACCCCCACAATCCAGAGGTTATGTGACATGTATCATTAGCGTGGCAGGGCCTACACTTTGGAACTCCTCGCCTATCAATATGAAGCAGGTGCCTTCCCTGTATAAATTGTGTAACATAAATAAAACACTGTCTGTCTACTGCAGAGTGGTGCTAAAGAAGAGTCTACGTGCAAACACTGCAAGGAAGCCAACATTCTCCCCCACTTCTCATTCCTAAGCAACCCAACAGTGGAAAAAAACAGTCCTGCTTCTCCATCTTTGAAGCTGACTCCGAAACTACAAATAATCCAGGTTGCAGCAGCTAGACTGGTAACCTGGAGCGGCCACCAGGACGATATAACACCGGTCCTAAAGGATCTACGTCAGCTCCCAGTATGTTTCCGATCACAATTCAAAGTGTTGGTACTGACCTTCAGTATACCTGAAAGAGCGGCTCCACCCCCATCGTTCAGCCCAGACACTGAGGTCCTCCTTCTCCTCCTCTTCCGAGGGGCTTCTGCCAGTTCCCTCACTGTGAAAAGCGAAGTTACAAGGGAACCAGGCAGAGGGCCTTCTCGGTAGTGGCACCCTCCCTTCAGACGTCAAGGAGATGAACAATTATATGACTTTCCATAGACATCTGAAGGCAGCCCTGTTTGGGGAAGTTTTCAATGTCTGATGTTTCGCTGTGCCTCCTCTCGTGCAAAGGGCTCCAAGCACACTGGCATTCTTGCAGTTAAGTTAGTGAGCTTAGTCAGGTTCCCCACCCCAAAGGCTGAGAGAGAGAGAGAGAGCAGGTACACACACAGGGCTGGTTGCCTTGGCCTTCATCAGTTTCTACCCAATTCAAGGCCCTACCAGACTTCTATTTTATTGCAGGAAGGTCCTGCCATGACTTTGTAGGGGGTTGGACTAGATGGTCCCTTCTGACTCTACAATTCTCTCTCTCTCTCTCCCGCCCCGACCTGGCCACAATGATCCATGCAACGGTCATCTCCAGGCTTGACTACTGTAATTCGCTCTACGCGGGGCTGCCCTTGAAGCTGTCCCAGAAACTCCAGCGGGTGCAGAATGCTGCAGCGAGGCTCCTCACGGGGTCTCTGACATGGGAGCATATTCACCCAGTGCTTTTCAAGCTGCACTGGCTCCCGGCGGAGTACAGGGTCAGATTTAAGGTGCTGCTTTTGACCTTTAAAGCCCTTCACGGCCTAGGACCCTCGTACCTACGGGACCGCCTCTCCTGGTATGCCCCATGGAGAGCCTCAAGGTCCATAAATAACAACACCCTAGTGGTCCCGGGCCCTAAGGAAGTTAGATTGGCTTCAACCAGAGCCAGGGCCTTTTCAACTCTGGCTCCGGCCTGGTGGGAACGCTCTGTCTCCTGAGACCAGGGCCCTGCAGGACCTGATTTCTTTCCGCAGGGCCTGTAAGACAGAGTTGTTCCGCCTGGCCTTTGGCCTGGAGCCAATTTGATTCCCTCCCTCCCTCTCTTTCTTTTTTCCTTTCCTTCTCATCCTGCGATGAGGCTACATTTTAATATTTTGATGTTCCATTATTTTAATGTTGTATTTTATTTTTGTTTTTAAGTTGTAATCATTCATCTTGTTTTTATTATTGCTTGTAAGCCTTGGCTGGGGAGGGCGGGGTATAAATAAAAATATATTATTATTATTATTATTATTATTATTATTAATTTATTAGAGGGGAGGGAGAGAGAGGAGCTAAAACCTTGGAGACACCAAGTTTCAAATCCCCACTGATCCATCAAGTCCACTGGGTCTGATCCTGAGCCGCTCTCTGCCTGTCAGCCCACCCTGCCTGTCACAGAGTTGTTGAGGATGGGGTCTGCCACCGTGAGCTCAGAAAGAGGCAGTATAGAAATGCAATACACCAGGCATGTCCAACAGGTAGGTCGTGGTCTACCAGTAGATCACTGGACACCTACGGTAGATCACTGGACGCCTGTAGTAGATCACAGTAGATCTCTTCTCCCCCACCACCAGAAAAAGCTTTGGCTCCCCTAAAAACAGCTCACAACTTTTGCCTGTCAATAAATAACCATGAGTAGATCACAGCCCATATTTTTATAGAGTGAGCAGATCACAGTCTCTTGGGAGTTGGACGTGCCTGCAATACACTAATGAACAACATCCAGATGGAACCACATTGGTCACCCCCATGGAGTCTCCGAAAGTGTTTGAATCATTTCACAAGCAATAGGCAGAAGGCAAGAACGGCCAGTTGAATCCCTGCTCAGCTATGAAATCCACAGGGTGGCCATGGCTCAGTCCCCGTCTCCTACCTCACAGGGTTGTCGAAAGAATAACGGGAGAGGAGGGAAATTACACGCCAGGCACCCAGAGCTCCTTGGCAGGGAGATGGCATAAATATGCCAGAAAGAAAAGTCCTTCCCCGATCTTTATTTAGGCTAGTATTCTCTCCCCAGAGCAGGTAAGGCAGCCAAGGCTGAACCGCACAGGACCACTAAGTGAGTTCTTGGCACAGAAAAGACTCGGGCTGAACACTTTGTGTCCCGCAGTGCGGACTCTCCCTCTTGTGAGGTTAAAGCAGAGGGTGAATCCTCGGCTGGCCCAGGGCTGTCCAGTGGGTCTCACACACGAGACAGAGATTTGAACCCAGCTCTCTTGCTCTTAGGCAAAGACTCCGACTACTAGGCCAAACTGTGCCGTTTGCTCAGATTCAAATTGCACTGCGTTCAGTGGGGATTACTCCCGGGTAAGTGTGGGCACATGGGTCCCATATCAATTAGAACTGCATATTGGTGAAAGTAACTTATGCATACTATTGCAGATAATTGCTTTGCAAAGATGTATTAGGCAAAACAACATACTGTACATACTGTACTGTACAAAGAAATGTGCATTTTAGGAGAAACAGACTAAAATGCTGACAAATTTTCAAGAGTACCTCTTCTTGAAAAATATATAAAAAGAACACTAATGTGGAGAACTGAAATTAAGATTGCAAAATCAAGACACCAAAATGGACGGATTCAGTCATCCCTACCAGGGAGTAAATCCACTGAAAGCAGTGCAGTTACTTCTGAGTAACTACACAGAGACTTTCTTCCCTAATGTACCCATACAATCATATGTGCGCCTGCTCAGAGGCAAGTCCTACTGAATTCAATGAGGCTTACTCCCAGGTAAGCACACAGGGAATTACAGCCTTTGGGGTGGGGAACCTGACTACGCTCACAAAGCTCACAAACTTAACTGCAAGAATGTGCTTGGAGCCCTTTACACAAGAGTAAGCACCACTGAAAGCTGCAGAGGTCATGTCAAAGCAGGCACGCTTAAGAACTAAAAATTGAACCTTCCTTTTCTCTGTACTGTACAGTCAGTAATCCTATTGAAGAAAATGCAGTGAAACACGCTAAGCAATATTTATTGATTGACTGGTTGCACTTCTATCTCACCTTTCCGACCACGAAGCTCAAGGCAAGGTGTATATAGTTCTCCCGCGCATCATCTAATCCCCAACACAACCACAACCACCCTGCGAGGTAGGCGAGGCTGAACGGCCTCCAAGGTCATTGAGCGCTGCGGGATCTGAACCCGGGCCTCTCCCCGGTCCGCGCCCAGCGCTCTCCCCACTAGACCCCACTGCCGCGCGCCCCTTCCCGAAATCCCCTCTCTCCGCAAAGCGAGCCGCCGGCGCCCCAGGGAGGAGCGGGACGAGCAGGATCCTCTCCGGTGCTCCGCTTACCCAGCGCCGGCGTGACGATCCTGGGCCCGGCCGGCCGCGACGCGACGGCGGAGGGAAGCAGCAGCAGCAGCAGCAGGCGGCTGGCCCACCGGGCGAGGCGGGAGGCGACGCGGCGGCGCTGCTCGGATCCCATCTGAGCCCCCGGGAAAAGCGAGAGCAGCCTTCGCGCCGAGCATCGCGACGGGCAGAAGTACCTGCGCGGGGAGGGGCGGGGCTACCCGAGGGGGCGGGGCTGGGGAGGGAGCGGCTGGCGCGCCCCGCCCGGGATCCCCTCGCTCCCTTCGCCTGCGGAACTCGCGGCTGCGGGGTTTGCATCCCACAACAGCCCTGGGAGGGGGGCGAGGCGGAGATGATGGTGATGATGATGATGATGATGATGATAATTTTGACCAAACTGCGGGAGGCAGTGGAAGACAGGCGTGCCTGGCGTGCTCTGGTCCAGGGGGTCAGGAAGAGTTGGACACGACTAAACAACAACAACAACAATAATTTATTATTTATACCCCACCCATCTGGCTGGGCTTCCTAGCCACGCTGGGCGGCTTCCAAAAAATATTAAAATACTGTAATAATAATAATAATAATAATAATAATAATAATAATATCTTTATTGTCATTGCTCCCTTCGGGGACAACGAAATTACTTGACTGCTCCATAAAAACACTAATTAAACAATACAGTATAATACAGCAAGGGAGATTAGATGACTTTCAAAGTCCGGGCTTCCCATTCAGGGCCGAGATCGCTCTGGAGAAGAAGCTGTTCTTAAGACGGCTCGTTCTTGTCTTCATCGTCCTGTATCTCCGTCCTGACGGCAAGAGCTCGAAGAGACAGTGACCAGGATGCGATGGATACATCAAACATTAAAAGCTTCCCTAAACAGGGCTGCCTTCAGATGTCTTCTAAAAGTCTGGTAGTTGTTGTTCTCTTTGACATCTGGTGGGAGGGTGTTCCACAAGCGGGTGCCACTACCGAGAAGGCCCTCTGCCTGGTTCCCTGTAACTTTGCTTCTCGCAGGGAGGGAGGCACCAGAAGGCCCTCGGCGCTGGACCTCAGTGTCCAGGAAGAACGATTGGGGTGGAGACGCTCCTTCAGATAGGTGCCCACCTCAGCCCACAGAGGATATGGGCTCAGATGCAGTGTGGCCTAAGGGGCTAGAGTGTCGGGCAAGCCCGGACTTCATTAAATTGTCAAAGAATTTTCTTGTGAAAAGTATCCTTGGGGCCTCGTGTGGGTCGGGCCCAGGATCGTCACACCGGTGCTGGCTAATCACAGTTCTTACAAAAACCGTCCTGAGACCTCCCGGTATAGGGCGGTATAGAAATTAAGTAAGTAAATAAGTAAGTAGGTGCCAGTTTGGTGTGCTGGTTAGTGTCAGACTAGGACCAGGCTTCGAATCCTCACATGTTCACGAAGCATATTGGATGACCCTAACCCAGTCACTACTACTTTCAGCCTAGCCTACCTCGCAGGGTTGTTGTGTGCATTTAATGAGAAGGAGAACCACACACTCCACCTTGAGCTCCTTGGAAGAAAGGCACGATAGAAATGTAATAAATAAGGAACATGAGACTTTGCGGGTGATTCTAATCTAGGAGAAATCATTTTACGGCCATCAGGGGGCAGTCATAGGGCCTCTGTGTCCTTGCAACGCTATTTAAAGCCAAGAACTATCAAAGATGCGAAATCCTTTGAGGGGAGGGGAGAGACTCCATCAGGCAAGGCCTTTTTCCACCTGCCTTGCCCCACCCTCTAATCTCTGCGTCTCAATTTGTATTGTATTATTTTATGCTTGCCGTTGTTTTATTGATTATAGTTTAGAAATTATTTATTGTAACTGTTGAGTGGATTTCTGCTTAACTTTTATATGTTATTATTATTTAATACTATTCTAATGATTATTGAATGTTACTTTTTTGATGTAGGTTGCCTATTTTAAAGCTTTATTATCACGTTTTTGTATTGCATTAGATCGTTATAAGATGTACATTTTTTGTTTCTTCAGCTTGTAAACCGCCTTGACTATTGTAAGATAGAAAGACGGTAGACAAATTAAAAAATGATGATGAAATGATGAATCCACCTTTGGACAGAAATCCACCAGACAGGCATTTCTTTGGCTGTGGACACATGGTACCTTTAAGACGCTTTTGAAACACATTTCCCCCTCAAAGAATTATGGGCACTGCAGTTTGTTCAGGATTGCTGGGACTTGCAACTCTGTTGGGGCAGGAGGCGTGGGGAAAACTGCAGCGCACAGAATTCTTTGAGGGACTGAATGTGCTTTCCAGGTATCGTGTGTAGGCAGCTGGGGTGCAACAGGCACTTCACTGTTTGTTCCTGGTGGGTGTGATAGGAATTTTATGGTCTTAGATATATGATAATGTTCATAACCGCACGTACATAGATCAGCACAGGAAGACCAACCTGGAACCATTTTGATTCCTAAACTGACCAAATGGTTTCTCTGCAAGGTCAGACTGGAAAAGTCTCCCCATTGTCTCTTTCCTCACAAATCCTGTCTTAAGGACACATTTAAGATATGAATAGGGTGTGAGCCTGTGACCTGGCCCAGGAAATAAGTATTTTACCACTACAAAAGAATGGCCAGGCTCCCAAGGCAATCCAATCAAGTAACTTGCCAGACAGGAGATAAACTGCGACAGGAGAAAAACAACATGCAAATGTTCTGTTTTAGACAGTTTGTTTTTGTGAAGGTGTGATGTATCTGAGGGGTGGTCTTAGGTTACACCCCTTCTGTGACGTATGCATGATGTTTCTGGGGGGTGGTCTTGATCTACAGGATGGGAATTTCAAAAGTCTTTATAAGCCCTTGCGCAGCATTTTTGTGGGTCCTCCTCTTTTCCTGCATGTAAGGGGAGCACCCTGTTGCAACAGATCAATAAAGATCAAGCTTACTAGCTGCTTTGCTTCTCAATATTCTCTGGTTGGCCTCTGTTATTTTCTCCTACTAATAGGGAACCTATGTAAGGACTCTATATGGGCTTTTTGGATACCCCATAAGGGAAAAGAGAATATTTTTATTTACAACATGGGTGCTTTAAAAAGTCCCTTACTTTTTTGGCATGAGCTTTCCCAATACATGGAGGCCAGCTTTTAAGTGACCTCTCAAATGTGGACATGTGATTGTGCAGTTTGCTCTGCTACCTTTATCGTAAACCACTTTGAGATTCTGAATAAGAAGCGGCCTATATTTTTGAATGAATGAATGAATAATTGCTGCAGTAGGGGCAAGCCTCTTGGAGACTACAGCTGGGAAGGATTGTCCCTCACACACCCCTAGCAGCAATTTCCTGGACCAGTGGTTCCTCAAGTGGGCAGTGGGATTACCTGGGGGAGGGCACTGAGAGGCAAAGCAGGGGGAAGCTGGGGGTGTAAATGAATCTGAAAACCTGGTATCACTGGATGAAGTTAATCAATGTTGTTGGAATTAATTAAATACAGTGGTACCTCTGGTTGCGAACGGGATCCATTCCGGAGCCCCATTCGCAACCTGAGCAGAACGCAACCCGTGACTGCGTGGGTCACGATTCGCCACTTCTGCACATGCGTGTGATGTCCTTTTGAGCGTCTGTGCATGCGCGAGCGGCGAAACCCGGAAGTAACGCCGCGGGATGCAACCTGAAAAGATTTAACCTGAAGCAAACGTAACAAGAGGTATGACTGTAGTTTTAATTGGATTTTGAATAAATGTGCAATTAATTGTTACCCTGAGCTTATGCAACCAGGGAGTGGGCCCCCCAAAAGCTTAGGAACCACTGCCCTAGAAGGTTCACACATAGAGAGAGAGAGAGAGAGAGAGAGAGAGAGAGAGAGAGAGAGAGAGAGAGAAAGCAGGTACACACACAGGTGGTGGCTGGTTGCCCTGGCCCTCATCAGTTTCTGCCCAAGGCTTTGATGCATCAGTCAAAGCAGTGCTTGGGTTTCACAGAAGAGCAGGTGCAAGAGAGGCAAAGATGCCTGGCTAAGTACCAGCTAAGATGTTGATCCAACAGACCACCAGGCCCCTGCAGCTTCCTTTTGAAGAGCTGGACTGAGTGCCTCAAGTGGCCAGAATCCCAGGACTGGGCAAGCAAATAGGCACTTTGGGCTGCACTTTTACGATCCCTGTGTGCTCCCTACTTTCCGTATTTTAAAATGTTTTCAGCACATGACTGGGAAAGTTCCTCTTAGATACCATTCACAGCCCTGCCAGAAGGAAAAGGCCAGAAACTAAAGGTAGGATTTCAGGGGAGGGGTGTTTTGTTGTGTGTGGTTTAACTTGTTTTTGCCATCCCTCTCCACAATATATACTTTTAGGAAAGAACTCAGAAGGTTGAACAGGAGAGAAAACCTCTCCCAGCAAAATAATATTTCCCATTTCCCATTCTGTGTTCCTGTCTCAAACTGCTATTGTGTGATACAACAGGGCATCAGTAATTCACAAAAAATGTTAAACTTTGAGCTCAGAATCGGAGGAAACTCGACCCATAGATTAAGGGGGAACGGAGCAGACAAAACAAAGCCCACCCTTTCACGCGTTGGATTGCAACTGGAAAAGAATTAATGGCATCAAGCAATGAAATGGTTTGAAACTGTGGGAACAGGAAGCCTTGACCTGGGGTCTTTATGACCCCCCGCCCCATACACACACGGTCTTGCAGCCTACAGCATATTACAGGACTGGAGTGTTCCCAGAAGGTCACTATTTTCAGCTGGGATGTAATCACCTACTAGCAAATTCAAGGCCCTACCAGACTTCTGTTTTATTGCAGGAAGGTCTGTCGATGTTGGGCTCTTTCAGTTTCTCATTTCCACATACCCCCCCAAACTTAAATTCGTTCATTTTGCAGCAACTTGTTATTTTTAAAATCCATTTGAAAATTCATCAGCATTTTAGTGCAGATTTCTCCTAATCAATACATTTTTATAGGCCAGTTTGATTAATGTACACATTTTTGTAAGCAATCTACGTAGAATAATGGAATCATAGAATTGTAAAGTTGGAAGGGACCCCCAAGGACCATCTAGTCTAACCCCCTGCACTTCGGGAATCTCAACTAAAGCATCTTGACTATGGTCTTGACTATGCTACCACTCAGTGGATTTGTAACTGGCTGACTGACCGAACCCAAAGGGTGCTCATCAATGGTTCCTCTTCATCCTGGAGAAGAGTGACTAGTGGGGTGCC